GGGGGGGGGGGGGGATGTGAAAAGATCAAGATTATTAAGAATAAAATTGTAAAAAGTAAGATGTTTTCCTTTTAATATAGTGAAATTAACATATATACCAAAGTAAATTGACGACAAGAAATTTTTAGAAATTAGAATATAAACAAATACAATAATTTTTAAAAGTTTTGCAGAGTAGCATTTCAAAAATTACATCTTTTTCCTCTTAGAGTAAAACTATTTTTTATGTAACTTAAAATAAATTCAGTTTCTTACAGATCTTTTTAGTTAATGTAAAACGAATGACTATAATGAAGGATATAAAACAAGGTGAAAGCTGAAAGGTAGGAAATGAAGCCTTTATTTTATGGAGTTTGTAAATGCCAGAAATGAGTGGAATATACATCATGATATTTTTCTAGGGGGAGGCAAAAAAATTCTAGGGCCGGGGGAGGTAAAAAATTCGACTTGCTTCGCGCGCATCATTAAAAAAATTAACCCCCCCCCCTTCAGAATCCTTATTTACGCCACTGGCGCCAGCTATTCCAAGATTAGTTGATAAAAAAATCTATAAAACAAAGCTACAATTTTCTCCCTGAACTTTGATTGTAAAAAAGAAAAATATTATGCAAATGAAGGATACTACATGATCGACTACCGTGCTTAATCAAATTAATCCCGTTTTAAGTAGAAATTGACGATTATAAATGGAAGATCCTTCCCGGAAGACTGTTTGTGGGAGGTTCGGAAGCCTTCTGGGTAAGTGCACTGCCGCAAATGGATGAAAAGAGGTTAGGAAGCTGTGCGGGGGAGTTTGCCTTCCCTCGCTTGTCCGATCTAGTTAGCTGCAGCTACATGGTGTCCCACGAAACATAACAGTATGCAAAACGACTTGAATGTCGTCTTGATTTTTGATATAATTTGCTATAGGCGTTTGTTTGTCAACTTAATTTTAGAAGTAAATTTCTAAAGATAATAATCACAAAATTCCCCTAGTCCTGCCATTTCCAAAATGTGGTCTGCCTTTTTTGTGCTTTCAAAATTGCCCGAGAACAGGGGCGTACGAGGGCTTTTGTTTAGGGGGGGGCATGCACAATTTGCAGGCCGGGCGCTGCGGCCACAAGTCCATATAGCAGCTGTAATACCACGTGCTAGTAGGTCGGATGTGTAGTATAGCGGATTTGGCGTAGGTGAGAAGTGGAGTATGGCGGATATGTGTAGGTCGAAAAATACACCACCGGATCAGTCGGTAGCCCTGTTCCAGAAATTGGCGCCGATAATTTGAATTAAAGTTTGGCGTAATTGACCAATGAGTGGGCAGAGTTTTCTCTCAACCAATCAGAGCTTGAGTTCCGTCTGGTTGTACTCTTCGAACGACTCCATTTTCAATTTTACAAAAATCCCCAAACTTTTGGAGAATGAGCAGTGAGCACTGTGTCTAAGTATTATTAAGATATGTTTAGTTTTGAGATTAAGTTTCAAATATTGTTTGTAAGAAATGTGGAGTTATTACAAGTGAAGTTATTTTAATTATAAATCAAAGATGGATGTATTTTTAAAAGACGACGCCATCGCTTGCTTGAAAGGACGATCAATTCTGTTTGTGGGCGACAGTATTCTTCGAAGCATTTATCAGGTATAGATAATACGGTAATTTCCTAGAGAACGATTTCTGGACCCCCCCCCCCCTTTTTTCCATTTTTGAAATTTTTTTGAAGAAGCTTGGGGGCCCATTGCCAGGCCTCCTAGCCTGTCCAAGCCCCGGCGCTCGGCCCCTAGCCTGTCCTATCCGCAGCGCTCGGCCCCCTAACCCATCCTAGCCGCAGCGCTCGGAACAGATAGTGTCTGAACCTAACCTAACCCTAAATAATACTAAATTATTACTGATTTGGTCATGTACAAAATTGATAGGACGGGGGTGGGGGGGGTCCAAAAATCGTTTATTAGGACGGACCCAATTCTATTTATACGTGGGAAAGATAAACATAATGTCGTAATTTTACCTCCTATTGATATTTTAACATGCATGATCAGTGAGCATTGCGCATATTGTTCTCCGCATATTGTTCTCAAGTCATGTAACACTATATCATTCTAACAATCGGTATATCTCCTACCCCCCCTCCCGTATTCAGCGCCCACTCAGAACAGAATGCACGACTTTCAGAAACGGTTTATACATGTTAAATGTCACAGCGCTATGCAAAGAAATAGTCTTAATCTCACCCACTCACCAAGAAAACGCTTTTTGGACCCCTCTGGGTAATTTCTTAGAGAACGTTTTTGGACCCCTAAGGGGTGTATTCTTGCTATTCTAAACCTATTTTTGTGAATTCTCGGAGATAAATGATTTTAAAATAAATATTTCTTAAATAAGATTTTCTAAGGATGTTTTGTGTCTTCTCAACACCGGAGGAAATACAGATGAACAAGATTTAAAGAGAAAAGGGATTCAGATCCCACGGTTCATGGGGGATGTTCTCAAGGAGAAGACTGGAGCACTCACAACAGGTATACAGGGTATTATATTATAGAGAAATTTATTCCTTCCCCCCAGCNATATTAAGAATTTTTATTTTACCCAGAATTGTGGAAAAAATAAATGATTAGATGTAAAGTGCATAAAAAGGATCGGGCGTTCAACTCCCCTGTAATTCCATAGAATACGATCTATAAGATAATTTTAGTCTTTTGTCTGATATTTTGTTTTGCAATTATTGTAATATATTATGTGGCAAAAAAAGTGCTAAGATGCAGGGAACCAGGATTATAAATTTTAAGACTGATTAAATTCTATACAGTCGTTTCTAAAGTTTCATTATTGGTAGGTAACCCTGTATTTTAGAAAATATTACAAGACTTGAAAAAGAAGTTGTATTGTGAAGTAATTCGAACGGATCTCACTTAATCTGGTGCATCTTAAGTAGTCATATTTGGGCCCAAACATGGTTAATTTTTTTCTGTTATGTTACTGGTCGTTTTATATTTGGTAAATCAATTTTTAGATAGATTAACAATTAGATCTGCAGTGAAACCTAGTAAACGTTGGAATAGGAAGACAACTTTTTATGAGTAATTCATGTTATATCTGGTAGCTTAAAAATAAATTTATTTAGTCAAATTGGTTTTTGAACAATGCACAATTACTGTTCTAAATATTTATTTTTAAAATCACAATTTGTCTTTCTATTCCACATTTTTATGGGTCCCACTGTATTTCTGGAAGGCCTGGCAGCCTTGACTAATATTCTAGGAATAAAATATTTTAGGCCGTAATTATTCGGAGATTAGAAATTTTGTAGACGAAGAGAATGATATCAAGGAAAACCAAGAATCTTATTGTGGTCAAGAAGGTTTGGAAATAATGACATTTGACATTTTGTACAACAAACCACTAGATATGTACAACTCATAACGGGACTGTTACATCATTTCAAGTGACCCTTAATGTGGCATGTTCGGTTCACAATGATACTATTTACACTTTAATCTGATTTAATTTCAAGTTTCCTTTTATTTAAAGGTACCCTTTAACCTGATTTAATTTCAAGTTTCCTTTTATTTAAAGGTACACTTTAAATCTTTGAATGGTGGAAGATGTCATACATGCCTAACTAAATTAATCTACTATAACGCTTTTAATGCGTAACATGTTTCATAAACAGGAATGAACCTATGTAAGTTGCTACCCTAGCCAGTCAAAAATTTCTTGCAAATCTAAAGATAAGCTTCTTCTTCACGAGCCGGTGCTTTTCTAAACCGATCAAGGAGTTCCTGAAGTCCCTTCACAATAATAAGCCCGATATATTCATTGTGCTCAGGTTAGATAAAGGGAATATATTTTCTTGTTAAATCATTCCCCTGTTCCCTCCCCTCCACTCAATCTCTGAATTCTTAAATCATTACAGATATGTTCAATTTGGATTTTTTTATGGAAATTTTTTGTTGTTGTTATTTTTAGTTCCCCCCCCCCCTTTAAACAAATAACTTTGGTATTCAAAAATACTTTTTTTCAGTGCTGTATGGGATATAAGCAGATGGGGTTCTTCGGTAACAAAGTTTCTTTTTACTAAAGCTGTTTGTAGCATAATTTCTTGTTTAATAACAGTTCTTTGCATATTTGTTTCGCGCATTTATTTTTTTAAGGGACCTGCTGATTATGAGTATAATTGCGTTAAACTTTTGGACTTCGTTAGAAACAATTTCGAGGTAAATAAAGCTCAAATTTAAAGATAATATTTCTTAACCTTTATTTAAGCCTTTAATAAAATTTAATTTGACAAGGCTGTTTGAATTCATTGATATGTACATGAAAATTCGATTATTAGGAATAATTTCGACCATAGTAAAGATTCAATTTAATATTTTAAACACAACTCTGATAGTATTAAATTGTTAGTTTTACATTATTGATAAACCCAAAACAATCGTTAATGTTTGAGGTGATGGTTTAAGAATGATCAACTTTCAAAGAAAAAAACATGAATATCTCATTCATCAGACAAAGCTTTTATAAATATGACATGGCACATGCATGTAGGCCGTAGGGTTACTTGAAATTACGTCTATATAGTCCCTTTAAGAAAGGTCAACCTTTCCAGCTATTTATCTAGGATTCCCGGTTGATCTGGTTGCTGTGCCCCCCCGTGTCCCCGCAGATATCTGGTCCCATCAAAGTCGAGGGCATGACCCTGGACAGAGAGATCAGGTTCCTCATTGCTGAAGGTATCTAATTCTACCATAGTAAGTACATACCATAAGGCATTATTTCTTAAAATTATCCCCTTTATAGAACCACTTCCCCCCCCCCACACCCACACCACTTTGACTGTGACCTACAGGGTTACCCACAAAGGATGAGAATGTAAAAACGACTTAAAGGGACAGTAAAGGAAAAATGAAAGGGGGTATAGCCTATACCCCCTTTCATTTTTCCTTTACTGTCCCTTTAAACTCTTCAAATATCACGATTTCAAGTTTAAATTAAGTTTTCATCCTTAAATATGGCTAATTAAATGGCACAGAAAAAAAGATAGTTTATTGTTGCAGAGAATCATGTATATAAGGAAACAGATAGTATCAATTCCGTACAGTTATCCTTTGCGGTTAACCTTGAAGCTCACCAAATGTTTTTGTGTCACTTGTTTTAAAACAATGTATTCCTCATTTTCCGGAAAATATTTAAAATATACTAAGAGTAAAACTATTAAGAGTGTGATATTTTATATTATGCTGCACTATGACAGCCGATGAACAATTTTTTAAAAATCAAATACAAATATTGTAAACATGGCTAGGTATCTCTGAGCTGGGAAAGAGGGCTGGACCTAACTAATGTTGTTTATTTTCAATAAACCTAGTTCTAGAGTTGTTCGTATCTTAGTTAAACTCGGCATTGCTTTATTGTCTCATTGTCTTATTTTTTTGTTATGGTATGGAATAATTCTTTGAGTTTCTCATACTTACACAATGTCCAGGAAACAAGGTTGTGGCCCATAAAGTAATCTCCCACGGGTTTGATGTGTTAGATCTCCATCATCATCTTCTTCCTCAGGTTAGATGGACATGTTATTAATATCTTCAGTAAACTGACAATTATGTACGTTTCTTATGTAAGTAAATATTCTTCCTTAATTTTAAAAGAAATTGCTAAAAAATGTTTAAAACAAGAGTGATCCTTTGGGTTGAAGTGCGGAACAGAGATATAGAAAATTATACTTTTAAATAACAAATAAAATCGGAAATTGTGTGAAATTTGTAGATTATTAGATATTCTAAGAAAAAGTGACTAATTTAACATGCAATTAAAGTTCTTTCTCACAAATGATTAGGACAGTTATAAAGGAAGAATTAAAGTGTTACCACCAAAATATGAGACTTCAGAGACGCGCGACTTTACAGATTTTATTCTAATGTTTTTCTTACCTCAAATGATTTCAGCAGCTGTACGTAAGATTTTTTGTTAAATCTTATCATCTACCATTCAGAGTCTAAAACTAAAGAACGAAAAGTTTTGACTTAAATTTTAAATAACTCGCCGAAATCGACGAGTTAAAATTTAAACACAGGTTTAAAATCTTGAAATTCTGCATTTTCCCTATTTGTCTATTATTCAATCATCATTCAGCTGCAGCTGAGAAAGCGGCATTCAACTTAACGATATATTTAAAAGTGAAAACCTTGTTAAAGAAATTTCACGTTTTAGATAAATTAATTTTTGGATGTAAACCCAAAAAACGGTTGTATGTTTTGTTTTCGGTTACGTAATAACAGCTGATTAGCGATGGTTATGTAATATTCTCCGTAAATCCTTTTCTCTGATTGGTTCAGATTTTTCCCGGGAAATTCAAATTTAAAATTGAGAAAGTTTAATGTTTAAGAAGCTATTCATTATTTTACAGAACTTTTAACCTCGAACTTAAAATTCGCGCATTCTTTTGTTTTAGACTCAGATCGTCATTAAAGTCCATCCTTTGTGGGTAACCCTGTACAATGTTATTGTTAGATTCACAAAAGAATGGCTGATGGCATGCACTGGACTAGTCCCGCAGTTCGGTATCAGGTTAATAAAAAGAAAATCTTTAACTAATTAATTAATTAACTAATTTTTCTGTGTCCCCTAAAAAAGAAGTTCTTGAAGTATTAATTAGTTTTTTATATCACAAAGTTTTTTCTTAACAATATTTTAATTTATTGAGATTTGGAACTAAAAAAAAATTAGCTTTCGTTTACAAAACATTACAACAAAACATTTAGCTTCTGGATCCATCCTGTTTAATTAAATAAATTCATAATCAATATCCAATTGTGGTTATAACCTGCAGGGAAAATCAAGCAATTATTCAGAGCAAGTGTTCAATGTTCATGATAAACAATACTCTTCACACAAATTCAGACCTCTGGTCAAAATTCAGAAAAGTATTTCCCCCTCCTCTGCTGGATATTTTTAACTATCTTATACTAGACAAACTTGCTGTTGACCCATATCTGCCTGTCACATGACATTGATCTGCCTGGAAGATGGAGTGGTCTACAAAATACCGCCTTGGATTATGACATGAAGATAGCTAAGTAAACATCTTTAATTTAATTCAAGTCCTGGCCTGGTTACCTATTTAAAAGTAGGTCAATGGCCAGAGTGAGTACTGGAGATCTTGAAATCTTTCTTTTTGGGATGATGCAGACTGCACCCCATGTAAAAACGACTTAAAGGGANGGATTAAGTTGAATTTCTTGGCGTACACTTAAAAAATGTATCAAGTTTTTGGTTTAAAATCTGTGTAAATATGGTTGCAATCCCCATATTTGTTAACCTGAACACACCTTGATATATAATGTAATGTTGTACATTGTCTGCAAATATAAATGCGCTTATCATTAACCAGTAACTACGCACAGCTTGTAATGCGATTAATCTAGCCTAGCTACGTCTGTAAATATGTCGAAACCTGTATTGTGATTAGCTAATAACTACGTCAGTGATAGGCTTAACTACGCATAAGTATATCCGCGCTAGTCTTGTAGATACTTAAACTCAACCTGTAACATAGATAACTAAATACACATTAGTTGAAACAGCCTCTTAAATGATTACCAAGTAAGAGTAATTTTTCCTTGTTTAACGAATGAGAATACCTTGAGGTCGTGTCCGAGTTGAGACAATGATAGTTTTAAGATTGTGTTCAAGTTGAGGCATTGATAGTTTACAAGATCGCGTCCGAGTTGAGGCATTGATAGTTTATGAGATCGTGTCAGAGTTGAGGCATTAATAGTTCAGAGTTTCTATATCTGTGCAGCCTGCAGTTATAGATCTTAAATTTTTCAAACTGAATTCTCTTAATTCAAATAATTTTGAGTTTTTATATTATAGGCTTACACTATTAGGTTGCAAAGAAATTGGGATCAGAGCTGAAAACTTTTGAATAGTGGATATCGGGATTAATGCTTGATCCTCTCTTTTTGATAATCTCAAGATTAACATAATCTTGCAAGATTATCTTAAAAGTGTATGAAAAACGATAAAATTCAAATTAATATTTAATCATCTGATAAACTGTAGCAGCCAATCAGAGAAAAGCGGGCAACCAATGAGAGAACAGAAATATTCTCATTGGAGAAAACAATTAACGGATATCCAAGGAGAGAGATAAAGAGTGGATTAGGACAAAAATGAAAAGTTTCCACAGTGAATATTCGGATCAAGAAGTCAGGATTAAAGTTTATCCATTCTAAAGTTCCCAGCTCTGAAGATTCAAGTTTGTGGCGTCTTTTCAGCTCCTTTGAATCACTTTATGAATGATAACATTTCTAGTTGAATATTGTAATTTGTGTATCACTATATTTTTGCTAGGCAAGTTTTATCTTATCAGAGCTGAAAACTTTAGAATGAAATATCCAGATATCCCGTCGGATAATTAATCTGGAGATTAAAAATGAGAGGAGAACAAGCAATATTTAATCTCGAGATTAAGAAAAAGAGAGGATTAAGCCTTAATCCTGATATCCACCATTCTAAAGTTTTCAGAGCTGAAAACTTTAGAATGAAATATCCAGATATCCCGTCGAATAATTAATCTGAAGATTAAAATCATGCATTAATCAAGCAATATTTAATCTCGAGATTAAGAAAAAGAGTGGATTAAGCCTTAATCCTGATATCCACCTTTCTAAAGTTTTCAGCTCTGCTCAGATAAAGTTGGTTTTCTTGTTTCACAAAACTATAATTTTGTCTTGTATCTCTAGTGAGGCAGAAGCAGGAAGATCAGAACTAATATCTTCTATGGAGAAGAAGAAAACAATTCTTAGTCTAAGTGAAAACACAATAAATAACAGGTGTTGATTAAAGAGTGAAATTTTAAGAAGAGTTTCTAAAAAGCCAGATTTATTTTGAAGTTGCGCATAAGTGCTTACCTGATTAATGACTTTAAAATGGATTAAATTTGGAAAAATATAAATATGCTTTTAGTCATTTCTGATTTCTATTTTTATTAATATGTGGCAATCATTCTCAAATATTCAGGGACACATTGTCATTAAGATGTGAACCAATCCCCCAGACATACAAGAACTCGGACGTAAACCCCTGCCCAGAGCAAAATTGGATTTGGAACAAACCAAACCAACCTAGCATCTTTAATCTGACTGATAAGGAAAGAAATATATTTACTTTTTTTATTAAGAAGTTTCTTATTAATTTATTAAACTAAAAAGGTTTATAAAAAATTGAATACTATTTTTTGTTTTTAATTTCAACAACAACCCAAAGGAGTTCTTTTCATACAGGAAAAAAATTTTGTTGAATATTCTAATTAAATATTTCTTGTGGATGGTATTAAGACTTGTAATTATACCAGTAGCTTCAACCATCCTTTTAAATCAAGAACAGAGAAGCAGGATCCAAGTCCTAGAGAAGATTATAGTTCTGGTTCAACTAAATTGATCGAGGGCTTTGATTTCCCCCCTGTATATGTTCTTAATCCTTCTAAAGAGGAATCAAACGCTGAAAAATCAAACCCAGGTGAAACAAAAATATAAAATTTATAAATGCTTAATTGTTGCTGATTCTAGTATACTTGAGTTGAAATATTGCTGAGCTACAAAACTTCATAATTTGAATAATTTCAAAATATTTCCAATTAGTTGATTTTTTTTTCAGCTCAAGTGTGATTTTTTGTTATGGAGAATTTTTATTCTTAAAACTTAAAATCATGTAAAAGATTAGGTTAGTTTTTCAAAGAATACAATTTTTCACGACCTGAATCCAGATCTTTAGAGCAAAAGATTCGAACTGTGTAATGAGTACCAAACTTAAATTATTAAGGAAAGTCTTCGCCGGTATATGTCATTTTATCATCAGATGAGGAATCTTCACACACTGTTTCCCACTCAGGTAAATTAGTTTTTAAGTATTTGCTTTAGGACATTCAGTACGATTATGATGAGATTCAACTGATCAAGTTAACGGAAGTTTTTCAACTCAGTTTGCAACCAAAATTATTACAAATTGGTCACAATTTTTAAAAGTATTAATGCAATTTCGAAAAAATTATCTAATTCATAGTTTTTTGAGAAGTGATCTTTTCTGTTAAATAATATTACCATAGTTTATTGAACTATCATTTTGATGTTTAACTGGACTAAAACAGCATTTAATGAATTTTTACTGAACTGGTACAACACGTTTCCCCCTCCCCCCGTTAAAGGTTGAATTTCCAAAAAAATTAAGTTTGTCAGTGCTCGATTAAAGGTTAAATATAAAGTAAAATTGTAAAATTTAGAATAGCATTTTAAAATTTAGAATGCTTCCTTGCTAATTGGCAGATTTTTTACTATTTCTAGAAGAATTGAGTATAATTGAATCACATAGAGAAACGGACAGAAAGATGAAAATGGATCAAACTTCAGAGAGGTAATGATAGATGTAAAACTTGGGTTATGGCTCAATTCTGTACATGCTTCTGGTCATTAATTAATCTGCATATTGTCGGATCTTTATTTTTGTATTGATACAAGTTTTAGTTTTAGCACCAAGTTTGTGAGCAGAAAAGTTATAATTTTATTTCTGAAAATGTTTAAATTCCTTTTAGAAACTCTAGTCCTGAGGATTGGTTGAAGTCAAAGGTCTCAGTAGGAGACCGTTTTTGCACAAACTTGGTGACAAATCAAGCTTCCTCCACCTTCTCCCAGCGCAGTAGATCCAGATCTTCACACAGAAACAGCCTTTCAAGCAACCAAGGTGTCCATGACAGGAGAAGATCAAGATCTCTCAGCAGAAGTAGCCAGTCAAGCAACAGAAATGTGTATCACAGGAAAAGATCAAGATCTTCTAGCAGAAGCAGCCAGTCAAGCAGGCAAAGGGCTCGCAAGCTGCGGAGATCAAGATCTCAAAGTAGAAGCAGTGAGTCCAGCAGGCAAGGTGTTCATGACCTGAGGAGATCAAGATCTCCTAGATCTCCCAGCAGATTCAGCCAGCCAAGCAAGAAAGGAGCTAATTTCAGGAGGAGATCAAGATCTTCAGATATTAAATATCCCAATGGATCAGTACAAAATAAAAGAAAAAACCAGGGCTTTTCGCAGACATTCAAAGACAAGTTCAGTGCACCTCTGTTGAGAATAAAAGGAGTTCGCAAAAGAAGTAAATCAAAGAATGGGAGAAGATCAAGATCTCCTAGAAGAGATCATGACGTCGGAAATGGAAAGGAAAATTCAAGCAGAGCTAGGTTGAACTCTATATTAAAGCAGACACGATTTAAAGCTACAAATATGAGAAGATCAAGATCTCCAGCTAGTAACAGCACCAGCTCATTCAAATTTGGAAGATCACCGGAAAGGAGTAGATCAAGATTTCCAGACAGAAGTATTAGTCCATGGAAGAACCCACATAATAACCAAAGGAACAATTACTTTGATCTTTTAAACTCAGCCTTTTCTATTTCAACTGAGAATGTTCTTATATTTTTGTTTTTGAACTAATGATTTTAAGTGAAGAGAAATGGATTTTAGCTTTGATAAGAATTTGTCTTCAATGTATTTGTTGAGCAGACTTGTAACTAACTTACCTGGAGCAATGTCTATACCGTCAGATATAACAAACCCCTTTGATTCAAGGAATAATCATCTGTCGAGCAGACTTGTAACTAACTTACCTCGAGGAGCAATGTATAAACCGCAAGATATAACAAACCCCTTTGACTCCAGGAATAATTATCAGAACAGGTTTCTTGACAGAATGAATTCTTGGCAGCCAGCTAATGAATCAACAGATCGTCCGTGGTTTCAGGATAGGGTTACCGAAGAAGGTAATAGATTCAACAATCAAGATAGGAGATCAAAGAAAAGAGATAGATCTCCTATCTATAGTTATAATTTCCGAGAAAAAAGACGACGGTCTAGATCTTCTGACAGGTTCAGAGGTGCAGGAAATAGGAACAGGACTGAAAGATTTGGTCAAGGACCAAAAAACGGATTCGGAGTGTTAAACAAGGCATTAACGGATCTGATGTCATTCATTCAAGGTGACAATTTTTTTCATTTTCTATAATGAACTAGAAATAGAGAACTCTATGTGTGCCTCATAATGTCGATGCTTGTTGGTTTGAGTACACTGAAAAAGAAACTTGCTAACTTCATTTATATATTTTCGCGAAATTTAACAAAATCTTTAGGAAATAGCCCCAGCGATAAAAACTAGATTATTTAATCATTTTTACTAAACAATATTGCATGTAGAACTGGACGTGTCTCATAAAGTCTTATAATAAGTGAAATTGTCCTAGAACGCCTAAAATCTTCATCCATACACATACTTGCAGAAATAGAGTGCAGCTTTATAAATTACTAGGCTTTCAAGGTTCTTCATGCCTCCTTTTCAGTAGCAATTTTACCTTTTCTAGAAGCAATTTTACCTTTTCTAGTAGCAATTTTACCTTTTCTAGTAGCAATTTTACCTTTTCACCAACGCTTATTTCATCTTTCTCCAAATCGTGGATTGTTCTGTTTATATCGGTAGAATTTTAAAAGTATTTTTCATTCATAAACCTTTCCTGGGGTCATGTAAATTGCCACAGCAAAATTTGGGCTAGATCGGTTCGGCCGTTTCGACGTTTGAGGATACAAGTAGTCAGACAAGCCAAATATACAGAGAGAGATATCTAGTTGCAGAAATCAACGTTTAATTTTTTATATTCCATTTAGAGGTCTGAGGTGTTGTTGCGCCACATCATTACAACCCCAACCAAGGTAAGTTTTCATATATTTTAAGAATTACAAAGGAAGGGGGAGACAGAGATAATAAGATTGTTACTTGAAAGGGAGTGTTCGCAAACAAATGTATATATATATAAATTTCGAACTTTATTTTAATCATTTATAGTTGACATAGCAGCATATTTGGTTTTTTTTCTGAACATTTTTATTAAAAAAATTAGTGTTCAGAGAAGGATGAATTGGTTGTATGATTTTTCAAGAAATAATTCCAAAAATATTTTTAAAACTGATTTTCCAGGCCCTTGTTTTATTTTGAAGTGGAAGACTGGCTTGAAAGTAGAATCTCGACAAATATCAAGATCTACTGTATTGACAATATCCAGAACAACAGTTCAGATTCATCTGAATTATCGACCATCGTCCAAATTATTAGAAGTTCAGAATATATATCTGAGCTGAAAACTTTAGAATGGTGTATATTGGGATTAAGGCTTAATCCACTCTTTTTCTTAATCTGCAGATTAAATATTGCTTGTTCTCCACTCATTTTTAATCTCCAGATTAATTATCCGATCAGGATTAAGGATATCCCATTCAAAAGTTCCCATCTCTGATCACAATACATTTAAATATTCTTTATCATTTTGTAAATTTGCCGCCATCAGTTATGAATCTGAAGAGTTTTGAGATTTGTTTCTGTATGGTTATGGTATTTATTAAATTGTGTGATAAAACTGTTATATTATGTGGCTTTATTTATTTATGTTCCTTCATAAAATAGATAATTTTCTTCAAATCATCATTGTTCAAATTTGTATTTACTTCATGTGTTATTTTTCTTGAAATATTTGCAATATCACCCAAACGAAAAGCAGAATGAAAATGCTGTTTTCTTAAAATTGTTACTTTTAAGCAATGTGATTAATTTTTTTGATAGTCTGTCATGTCTCTTAAATGCTTGAAATATTTACAGCAGCAAGGTAATACGATGGCTGCTGTACTTGAGCACGGAGATGTTGCACTATATGAGGAGGAACAGGACTTCTTCCAAGATATTGATCTGCTACAGAATCATGGAATCAATGTTGCGGATATCAAAAAACTTAAAACTGCAGGAATAAGTTGTTTCAAAATAAGCGGACGAATTTTAAGAACTATTTTGAGAAGGAATATAAACTATGATTATTTCTCTTAGATCATCAAATTATATTTAAGTTTTGTGTTTTAGAATGTTTTCTAGTCTTAAGGGATTGTTTAACTTAAAAGTGGTGCCCCAAAAAAAGAGCGCCGGTAATATATTTAACACAAATATGTTCTGAAGTCGGAACTAGTGTTGCAAATCCCGAAATCAAGCTTAGACCTCCATCTGATGTAGACACATACCGATCTTTATGATATCCCGTGGTGGTCAAATCTTGTAGGGATATACCTAATTGAGGGACCAATCATCAATCCTTAAATTGAATAGTGTATATATTTGAATATCGAGATCAATCGTTCAAGATTAACGACTTTCCACCCAAAAGTTCCGACCTTTGACTCCACTTATTTAATCAGGGATCTGCACAATTAAAGGACTTCAAATGATAACGAAGAAAAAACTCTGCGCCATCAAAGGTAAAGTTTTCTTAACAAAACAGTTAAAGCTATGGAAGAAAATATTTTTTCATTGGTTTACATTTTCTAGAATTATTACGAACAAAGTAATCTTAACTTTTTTCTTCAAACATGCAAACAAGAGCGTTGATTTAAATAATATCGTTTTTAAGATTTCTTTCATTTTGATGGGGAAAAAATAGCCTCTGATTTTTAGTATTTCCAAATGTGTAGGACTGTCTGAAGCTAAGGTGGATAAGATCAAGGAAGGAATCTTGAAGATCTGTGGAACAAGTGCCGGGTTCTGTACTGCTCTTCAACAGTCTGTTCGGAGGAAGAACGTGTTCAGGGTAACTACTGGATCTAATGAACTGAACAAGCTGCTAGGCGGAGGAATCGAATCAATGGCGATCACAGAGGTGTTCGGAGAGTTTAGGTAAATTTTACAGTCTAGAAAATAACTTTATATGGACTGAGCCGGCGATTTAAAAAATTCAAGAAAATACGACTCGGGTCTAAGCTGTTATTGAGCCTTATTTACGGCTCGGGCTTGCGAATTCAAGTTGCATCTATTTTTCAACAGAATTTAGTTCATAAAACCGGTTTAATGTTGTATTTGGTAGATTTTCATAGTTGGAATTGGTGCATTCCGGGTTTTGATGAGAATAAGACCCAACATTGAGCCTTATTCTTCACTAAAACCAACCAAGGTCGGTTTTATTTTCATTGGGCTTAACTCCTTAAGTCGAGCCTAAGATCTCGCAGCTGTCAATCACGTGACACAAGCAGTCGTCAAAGTTGGGTCTTAAAGCTGCGTTTCAGGAATTAAGACTCGAGCCGAAGCTTTTAAATCGCGGGCTCAGAGCCGGCGATTTAAAAAATTCAAGAACATACGACTCGGGTCTAAGCTGTTGTTGAGCCTTATTTACGGCTCGGGCTTGCGAATTCAAGTTGCATCTATTTTTCAACAGAATTTAGTTCATAAAACCGGTTTAATGTTGTATTTGGTAGATTTTCATAGTTGGAATTGGTGCATTCCGGGTTTTGATGAGAATAAGACCCAACATTGAGCCTTATTCTTCACTAAAACCAACCAAGGTCGGTTTTATTTTCATTGGGCTTAACTCCTTAAGTCGAGCCTAAGATCTCGCAGCTGTCAATCACGTGACACAAGCTGTCGTCAGAGTTGGGCCGAAGATTGGGTCTTAAAGTCGGGTTTAAGGAATTACGACTCGAGCCGAAGCTTTTAAATCGCGGGCTCATGGAAGCGTAAGTTTAAGTGACCCTCCAACAACGTCCGATATACAAAGGTGCCCTTAAAAGCTTTGTCTGATCATGTATGAATTAGATATCAATGTTGATAATTTTTTGGTTATTTTCAATTGTGGTTCCTCTCCAAACATTGCATGCACATTTCTATACTACAGGAAAACATAGAGGAAATATAAGAATTAAACTAGGAAAACGGCAATATCTTCCACATTATTGATCAGACAAAGGTTTCTAGGTGATCGTTATAAGGTCACTTGAAATTACGCTTACAGTCCCTTTAAAATGCTTTTTTGTTATTAAATTAAATTATTAAATTAAAAATCCGAACTCGGGGGGGGGGGGATATTTGAATATTTATACACTGAAACTGTTAATTATTCATGTTTTTTCTTCAATTCATTCGTCAATTTACAAGTTCTTGAAATATTGATAACTATTTGTTATTACAGGACTGGGAAAACACAGTTAGCTCACACCCTGTGCGTTACAACTCAGCTGCCTGGGGAGAACGGGTTTACCGGGGGTAAAATTGTCTACATAGATACAGAGAACACCTTCAGACCTGACAGATTGAGACCTATTGCCGACAGGTACAAATCAAGCTGATTCCTTAGGCCATTCTTTATCGTAGCATACTGTGACTTTCAATCACGTATTTGACCTATAAACAAACTTTTACACTATTTGTTAAAAATGAAAAAAAGTATATTAAGACTACGCTTAAAGTTTAAAGATTGTTGAATGACTAAAACGTGATTTAATTTAAACAGAAAAAACTGCACGCATCTAGAATACTAGTAACATACTTCAAATAAATACAATTTTTGACTAACAACCCTTCTTTCTAAAATGTTTGTTTATTGAAATCGATTGAGAAATTTATAAGAATTTTGTCTCAATTTTAGTTTATTATTTAAATACTAGCTCGGAAACCCAGCTTTGCCGGGGAACTAAAATTCAATTCGGTCAACTTCTAATTGTTTAACCTAGCTTAGAACATTCCCGTAGTTCTATCAAAATTAGAGGCAAATCGGTCTAGAGGTTCCTTAGTTATGATTCGGCATCCAATCAAACAAATATATTTTTCAACAAACTTCTTCTGTGAACTTCAATGATCGATGACAATTTTAATGCCCTTTCTCAATTTTATTTTTTTCTTCGACAACCTCATGGTACCTACATTTAATCTAAAAATTAAATTTTACTGCTGCCTGCTGACTGCAGATGAAACAAAATAATTTTAAAAAAACAAGTGAACACTATAAAAATACAGATTTTGTTAAATTAAGTTCTGATTCTTTTCATTATTATGATAAACTTATCTTTATGTTTCCAGGTACAACCTTGATCAGGAAGCAGTGTTGGATAATGTTCTCTACACTAGAGCCTACACTAGGTAAATATCTTACTTAATTTTATTAACAATTTTAAGAGTTTTATTATGTCCCAGCAGGGGGGGGGGGGGGGGGGGGTTAATTTCTGTGTAACGGCCCAGAACATCTAAGGGCATCACAGACCTCTACGTTATTGCTCAATGTCATGTAACTAATTATCACCAGTCCCTAAAATACGAAAATCCAACCCTGCAACTGGGTTGGATTTATTTCCCAGGAAGAAGTGTCATTCGTAATCGGAATTAACCAGATAAATCACTACCAACAATTGACAACGGCCATGCACCACCAGCAACCAAATCAAGAAAGAGCCCATCATATTGTTAATCCTCCTTTTTCCGGGCCTGGTGAGTCAAATTACTCACTGAACCGGCCACCAGATGACTGATAAACAGGAAAAATTTCAAGAAATCAATGTCGGGACCCATTCGATCACTGCAACTGTTCCTCAACAACTAAATTTCTTCTATCCGGCAAGGGTGTAAACTCAGGGATTTTCTTTATTATAGACTACTCTGAGTTTAGACCCTTGCTGTGGAGATGAATTTTCTTCAACACAGAGAGATGGGACCTTTTCGATCACTGCAAGTGCTCCTCAACAACTAAATTTCTTCTCTCCGGCAAGGGTGTAAACTCAGGGATTTTCTTTACTATAGACAACTCTGAGTTTAGACCCTTGTTGTGGAGATGCATTTCTTCAACACAGAGAGATGGGACCTATTCGATCACTGCAACTGTTCCTCAACAACTATATTTCTTCTCTCCGGCAAGGGTGTAAACTCAGGGATTTTCTTTACTATAGACAACTCACTCTGAGTTTAGACCCTTGTTGTGGAGATGCAATTTTCAACACAGAGAGATGGGACCTATTCGATCACTGCAACTGCTCCTCGACAACTAAATTTCTTCTCTCCGGCAAGGGTTTAAACTCAGGGATTTTCTTTATTATAGACAACTCTGAGTTTAGACCCTTGTTGTGGAGATGAATTTTTTTTCAACACAGAGAGATGGGACCTATTCGATCACTGCAACTGTTTCTCCGGCAGAGGTGTAAACTCTGGGTTTTATCGATCAAAGTCAACTTTGAGTTTACACCCCACCCCTGCTGTGGAGAACGGAGTACACAGGAATGCGTTTTACTCTCTCACGGCTTTTTGTTCACTGCCATCTCAGAATGTCAGGAATTATGAAAGCTCTACTAAATTCGTACTAGTACGACCCTATCCCCGTATTGTACTCGACTTAGTTCCGCCCCATGATTGATTATATTTCAATATTTCAATAAAATGTACGACATTTAAAAAGTTATTTTCGTCGAATCCGACTGGTTTCTTCTATGAGAGAGAGTTTTATACCTGTATTCATTCTAATTTTTCTCTGAAAGGAAATATTAATTTCAGTTCAAATACAATTTAGTAATTTAAAGGGTTAACGTTTTGGTATTTTAAAAAAAATTTTATCTTGGCAACGTTGTGAATATATTGAATATTGAAATGATTGGTGGTTAAAAAGCTATATTAAATTTATGATTATTTATTCTATAAATAAATAATTTGAAGTAAAAAGATACTTGGTTTTGTTAATAACAATTTTAATAGTGAACAACAGATGGAGTTGCTTGACCTTGTGTGCGCTAAGCTGCATGAGGAGGCGGGGATCTTCAAGCTCCTCATCGTGGACAGTATCATGGCTCTCTTCAGGGTAGATTTCTCCGGTAGAGGGGAGCTAGCAGAGAGACAGCAGTCACTAGCTCAGATGCTTTCTAAACTACAGAAGATATCCGAGGTAATATTTCGTAAATGTTCTGCAAGGCCGTTTTTGTGACTAAATATCCTATATATCTAAGATTACAATGTAGCTGTATTTGTGACTAAATATCCTATATATCTAGGAGTACAATGTAGTTGTATTTTTGACCAAATATCCTTTATATCTAGGATGCAATGTAGCCGTTTCTGTAACTTAATATCCTATATATATATAGGATTAGAATGTAGCTGTATTTGTGACTAAATATCCTATATATCTAGGAGTTGTAACTTAATATCCTATGTATATAGGATTAGAATGTAGCTGTATTTGTGACTAAATATCCTATATATCTAGGAGTTCAATGTAGCTGTATTTGTGACTAAATATCCTATATACCTTAGGAGTACAATGCAACTGTATTTGTGACTAAATATCCTATATATCTAGAAGTACAATGTAGCTGTATTTGTGACTAAATATCCTATATACCTTAGGAGTACAATGCAACTGTATTTGTGACTAAATATCCTATATATCTAGGAGTACAATGTAGTAGTATTTGTGACTAAATATCCTATATTTCTAGGATTACAATGTAGCTGTATTTGTGACTAAATATCCTATATATCTAGGATTACAATGTAGCTGTATTTGTGACTAAATATCTTAGATATCTAGGAGTACAATGTAGCTGTATTGGTGACTAAATATCCTAGATATCTAGGACTACAATGTAGCTTTATTTGTGACCAAATATCCTAAATATCTAGGAGTACAATGTAGCTGTATTTGTGACTAACCAGATGACCTCCGACCCCGGAGCATCTCTCTCCTTCCAGGCGGATCCTAAGAAACCAATCGGAGGAAATATACTGGCGCATGCTTCAACCACTAGGCAGGGTTTTATTGTAAGCAAAGAACGTCCTACTCTTGACTTTTTAGATTTTTTGTGGGGGTGGGGGGGCCTCAACGTTTTTTGACAAACAGTTTTGATCTCAGGCTATTAATATTTGTTTATTTACTCAAGTTATTAATACATTTCTTAGTTTAGATTTTCAAACACCTACGACAAAAGGAATTGGATGGACACAATTTTTACGAAGTTTTTTGCACCTTTTTATTGAAATGCTCCCGTTAAGTTAGATTTTTTGTACTCTTTAATTATTTCGGCTCTGGATTCTAAGGCCTGTAAAATCACCAGATTTTTCAAACGGGGGGGGGGGGGGAATGTTTAACTGTGAAACCCTACTTCCAGAATATCCCTGAGGAAGGGTAGAGCAGAGCTACGGGTTGCCAAGATCTTCGATAGTCCGGATCTACCAGAGAGCGAAGCAACCTTCGCGATAACATCCGGAGGAGTCGACGATGCAAAGGATTAATCGTCAAAACCGAAAATATCCATCTTTTCACTATTATAAAAGTGAAGTGTGTTTGGTCCTTTTTCTGTTAACATATTTTTATGAATTTTAGCCGATTTTGTAAATTATTTGTCATGGTTCAAATATGTAATCCAAATATTATTTGATAAAATATGTAGTTTTTTTATCTACGTTTTCTCTTAAAAAAATGAAAAATTAGTTGTTAAGTAAGAGTACCCAAGTACAACATACGTACATGTGTAGAAATTATTTTGTGACAATATTTAAAAAAATGTATTTAAAGTTGTAATCTTGGAAGTCTGTTATCGTTATTAATCTATATGTATTGTAATTATATTATACATTAGAAACCTAGCATAGAGAACATGTCTGAACCCGATACTCAACTTCGCAGCAGTTTATTTATATTCATTTTTAAGGAGTACATGTAAGTATTTTAAACCAAAAAATATCTGTGATCAATTTTGATACAGTGATAACCAGAAAACAATGGAAAAGGAAGGCGACATTATTGCAATACTTAAGTGCATGTAATGTTGTTGTAAAGCAAATAGTTTACTTGACACTTCTACAATCACTTATTAAGTTAAATGGGCCTGTTTACATTGCACAATTGATGTGTCTCATGCTAATCGGACTTATTAAAGTTATAACTTTATTCTAAAAGTCGTCCTCCTGTTTCAGAGTTTCTGGTTATCACTGTATATATATATATATATATATACAAAATGAGAGAAAACATTAATGTTACAATAATATATATATTTTTGTAAAATAAAATTTTCCTCTCATTTCACTGCCTCTGGCGCTTAGGATTCATTTCATTTTGATGCTAATTCGGATCCGGAATCTGTGATGATACAGCTCAATATTTCTTTTTTTGTTTATTGCTTTTGCTAAATCAAATTTCCAAAAAAATCGTCTCTTGGTTTCCCCATCTCTATATAGAAACTTGTTATACCATTAATGGTTCGGAAAAGATTTAAGGATATCTTAATTTTCGCCACTAAAAGAAAAAAGTTGTATTTATGTTGATTGTGGTGTATTATGGCGTGCTCTGAAACTGGTTGATTGTAATTGAAAAACGTTATCAAACTTATCATATCTAAAGCCCTAATTTGCTCAAAAAATTACGACCATGTTTACCATCGGTTTTAGTTTCGAGAACCCTAGATATTAACGGTTCTGATTTGTCACAATAGATATGTACACAAACTCAATACCCCGCCTTAGCTCTATTCACATTGGAAGTTTTTATGTACTGCACTTTTCTGTATGTACGGCACCGTCCTGTAAGTTCTGTACTGTCCTGAATGTATTGAAATATCCTGTATGTACGGTCATGTATGTACTGCAAAGTTGTGTATGAACTATCCTATTATCAGGAACTGTCACGGATCAATCTACATGGGGGATCTAGTGGCCGGACTCTTTCTCAGCTATGTGCTCAACTCAGTAGAGGATTGTGATATCGCTTGGTTTCCTCAACTTTTTTTCTACATTGGTAAATACACATTACGTTTTGATTGAAATTATGGGTTTTAAGATAAGAGGAGTATCATTAATCTTAAACGGTTAATTTCGATATCCAATGTGGAAAGGATTTGAGTTTTTTGCCACAAACTCTGATTTTCTAATTTCAATATCGTTGCAACCCAATGTGGCAGATCTTAAATATTTCAAACTATGAATTTGCTATTAGGTCAAATAATATAAGTTTGAAATATCAAAGGTTTACATAATAAGGTTGCAAAGACATAGGTTTTACAAAAACTGAATGTGTGGCAAAGACTCAATTCCTTTGAGGATAAATACTTGATTCATCAATTAAAAGTTATCCCTGCTAGATATATCACAGGATCGGAAATCATAAAGGATTAGGATTCATCCGCAGGTCTGGATTAGATGGAGATCTTTGCGTGATCCCGATATTCACACACAGAAGTTCCGACTTAAGAAACGAAAAAATAACGGGAAGACAAGCGCTGGAAAATGTTGAAATATTATTTTCTTGTATGATTCATTAACTTGGACATTTAAAGGCACAGTAGGCTTTAAAATTTACACCGTGGACAAATTAAGGTGCCGAATTAAGGAAATGCATGAATAGTTGTTGACATTTGTCAGTAAATTGTCATGATAGAGGCGTATATTCCTTGTGTGAAATGAAATGGCAAGATCGTTATTTTTTTTTTTTGGGGGGGGGGGGGTAACGAATGTTTAACTCAATAAAATGGGAACCTTTTCACTTTTTTACATTTTATAGAGGAGTTGCGACCAGTTTTTTTGTTCATTTAGTTGCTTTTTTTTCAGGTCTATCCCACTACTTCATTAATACTATTGGAGTTATGGAAGGATATGAAATCAGGAAAACAAGCAATTCTTAAACCTAAAAATGCAAAAAAATGATTTAAATCATGCTTTTACAGAAGAAGGTCAAAATCATGGAACATTTATACCAATTGTCTTGAAAGCAAAACGTTCTCCCCTTTAAATTCGTCTATATTTTCATTAGAGGAGTCGAAACTTCGTATTTCATTCAGAACTCTCAAAGGACAAATTTCTTCTTCTTTTTTGAAGGAGTTTAAAAAAGTAAAACGGTAAAATCTTTAATAATACAGTTTATGTATGTCACATGAAACGTCACAGTTGTAGATGACATGAAGATTGACTTTTTTCTTTGAAATGCGCCATTATTTCGATCAGTTTTCAACAATTTAGTTTTATTTAATACTTTAAAATTCTTCATTACATATATCCCCGGTAATATAGAAATCGCAAAAAAGCAGATTACATTTTGGAAATGCCAGGACTAGGATTACTTCGTGATAAATCAATTCTTTCAACGATCAAAAGAAATCTTTACTTCGTCTTCCAGCTGTCATGTTTCGTGGGACACCCTGTATCTTAGCTCATGGTTCCAATATATTGCTTATGTTTGTTTAGTTCTGTGAGTATTGGAGAAGAAGTTAACGGTGTTGATTTATTTATCCTGAACACTACGTACATTCTTAAACATGGAGCTAGGCTTACACAGTATGGTTTTCTGCTCGCCCTCGGATATTTTATTAGCAAGATCTGGTGAGAAATATTTAACCATCATGTTAAATACTTCCTAAATTACAGATTTTCTAAAATGTTTCTATTACAAGGTATTATCCAAGGGTGTAATGCAAGGAAAGTTAATTGAGGTCGTGTATACTCTGCGTACACATTGAAACCAGTTCTCTTTGGGCGGAAATTGTAAACAAGAATAGATGCATAAGTGTTCGTTTAGTATCCGAGGAGGTTAAAACAGGGAGTAAGGAATAAAAGGGAGATATAACCGACGCGGTTCGCCCTACCATATGATTGCATGTTTTGCAGACCAGTACTCCATTTGAATAAGAAATATTTGTCTGATGTACATTTACTGCGTATACAATAACCTATTCTGAGTATTTCATATACAAATGGAGTACCCGTCTGCAAAGCATGTATAATCATATGGTAGGGCGAACCGCGTCAGTTATATCTCCCTTCTATTCTTTACTCCCTGGGTTAAAAGCATTAAATTTTGATAATTTTGATAATTCACGTAATAGTTTCCTATGACCAGAATATTTCATTGATTTTTTTATGTGAAAGATGGATCCAATGTCTACTAAACTAAAGAACTAAACATATTTCTCACCGAATAGTACAATGGAAAACTGAATATATTTCTCATCGAATCGTACAATGGATAACTAAATATATTTCTCATCGAATAGTTATATGGAAAACTGAATATATATCTCATCGAATAGTTATATGGAAAAATAAATATATATCTCATCGAATAGTACAATGGAAAACTAAATTTAATAATTTTTAACCAACCAAATTTTGTGAATTCAGTCTGTTAAGCTCAACGAAAACTTAAAACGGGCCTAATAGAACTAAAAATAGTAAATAATCACAGAGTACGTACAGAGTGTCCCACAAAACATGACAGTTTGTAAATAGCTTTGAATGTCTCCCATACACTGTATTAGACATTAAAGACTTATATTGCAGAGAATTCCGTAAAAAAATCTTTTCTTAAAATTTGTTTTACTTTGAAGTTAATTTTATTCTATTATGACTGCTATATAATATTTTTTGTTATTAATTTTGTTATCAAACTACATAAAAGATTATGAAAAAAGACAGTTAAAACGCTCCATTTTGTATAAACTGAAATTACATGTGGAACATTCGTAAAATTGAAATACCGAATTAACTAAAAATACATATCATATTAACTAAAATTGTAGTAGGTATAAGAACAGAAATTATATACATAGCATGGAAAGAATTATAAAATCCACTAAAAATATAAAAAGACTTCTCTGTATTAGGTTTATGGTGGATACTGGAGAAATGACCCTTGATACCTATGATGAATGTCGAGAGAAATTTTTCAATCAAGCAAATAAGTAAGCTAATTTAAATCAGTGTATAGGATCTGGATCTCTGACATTCCTTAACAATTTAGTTCCCTGGATATGGATCCGCAATATGTTAACTCCCTGGATCAGGTTCCTCAGGTTCCGTAACATTTTAGCTCCCTGGATCCGAATCCGCAACATTATAGCGTCCTGGATTAGGTTCTACAACATTTTAGCTCCATGTATCTGGATTCTCAACATTTTAGCTCATTGGATCTTGCTCTGCAACATTTTAGCTCCTTAGATCTATAACAACATTTGATTTTAGCTCCCTAGATCCGGATCCGCAATATTGTAGCTCACTGGATCCAGATTTGCTCTGCAACATTTTAGCTCCTTAGATCTATAACAACATTTGATTTTAGCTCCCTAGATCCGGATCCGCAATATTGTAGCTCACTGGATCCAGATTTGTAACATTATAGCTCCCTAGATCCGAATCCGCAACATTTTAGCTCCCTGGATCCGGATCTGCAACATTACAGCTCCCTGGAGCATAATTCTTCTCAATGTAGACAACTTTCCTATCCGTTCTTATCTTTATGTATCTCGCATACCCTGCTACTCTTTCTCAGACACAACTTTTAATGTTTTTGCCGTTTCTTTCAAAAAATTGTCGCAGCTGATTCCTACGGTCAAAAATTCTATAATTTTCATTTCTCTAATTGTATACAACAAATTGGTGAAATTTTTATAAATTTATGTTAACTAAAGTTAACAAAACCTTATGTGATATAATAAGGCTGAGCAATGCAACATGCTATGTGCAATAACGAAGACGACATATAGTTCTCTTTATTTTAGTGACGACTGTAGTTTACATAAATTTTTAGTAAATTATTTTCTCCAGGACTGATGATGCGCCTGAGAAGACTTGTAAGTATTATTGTCAACATTCTACTGTCTTTCTTGGAGCCAGTGCTTTCTTCTTCCAGGTTCCAATTACAATTTCCTATTTTTACTTCATGTAAATATTTTTTTCATAAATATTCTTTTATTATCAAGCTACTAAAAGAGTAGAAATAATAATTAGATATTTCAATTAAAGTCCGGGGTTAGCAATAAGCATGACATCACTGCTAAAGATTTGTGTTGGTTCTAGAATCTACAGTGATAACCAGAAAACTCTGGAATAGGAGGACGACTTTTAGACTCTAGTTACGACTTTAAATAGTCTTACAAGCAAGGTTCACTGCAATTGTGTAGTATAAACAGACCCATTTCACTTAATTAGTGAATTAAAAGTGTCTAGTAAAACTATTTGCTTTGAAGTATCATTAAATACACTTAAGTATAGCATAAAAAATCATCTTCCTATTTCAGATTTTTCTGGTTATCACTGTACCAAAATGTACATTGTACACATCTGTATTCTGGTCTTATAAAAAATAGATGATTTTTTCTGAAATTTATATTCATTAAGGTTTTGTTTGGTATACTAATTCTTCTATGCTGGGTTTACATGTGGTATGCTCAAAGGACAGATAATGAAAAAGCTAAAAGGTAAAACATCTGGTTCACTCGTACTGAACCAGACGAGGGAGGGGGTGCAGAGGCGCCATGATCCCCGCAAAAATGACCTCCGAACCTCAGGATTTGCAGAATTACCTCCAGGCCCCGCAAAACTGGTCTCCCAGCCTCAGTAACGTCACCAAGCCTCCCGCCATTCTGTCTCCACGTCCCGCATTTTGGTCTCCGCTTGTTGTTTTTATTTTTTGTTTAAATTTGTTGGCTTAACCAAACAAATATCAAAATATATCTCTTTATAGTAGACTCTGTAATAGTTTAAAGAATCGTCTAATCAACAAATTTGACATGTTAATTCATTCAATTGTTCTGGAGTTGTTTTTCTGTAAAATTCTGCAAATCCTGAGGCTCGGAGGTCATTTTTGCGGGGATCATGGCGCCTCTGCACCCCCTCCCTCACCAGACAGAAGGATAAGACAATTTATGCGACTGGTTCAACTTTGGGGGTATAGGCTTGTACTGCGTAAAATAAGCGCTTTTGATCGTTACTAATCTTCTGTTGATTCTTTTAGAAGAAAATTGTTCAAAACGACTAATACAAATTCAGAAAGTTGCAACATTCAACTCGTATCGTAAAAAATTAATTTAATTCCAAACAAATCATTCAAATATTACAACCAATAATCATCTATAATTTTTCGACGCATTTCATATTATTTTTTGTTTTTATGATCACATATAGTTACGTTTAAAAACATTTATTCCTGTTTCGAGGATTTTTGTTAATGAAGACGACATTTTCCAATAATGTTCGAAAATCCAGCGACAGCGAAATATTATTATCTTAATACATTTAAAGATGAAAATTGTTAAATAATTGATTCCAGAGAAGACGAGCAGTGGAAAGCTTATGAGAAAGGTCTGAAAGGGACAAACTTTGGAAGATTAAGGGATCTTTGTCTCTATATTGGCTACACTCCGTTCTTTGACGAATATACAGGGATGTATGTTTTCCGGAATTTACAGCACTAACATTTAGAAATCATTTTTAATTGTTCTCACACAATAATTGACTAGGGAAAATAAAGATTATATGTGATTGTGATTGTGAAAATTGTGAAAATCGTGAAAATTTAAAGATCTTCAGATTCAAGATAATTGAATATTTCTATGATAATACGGTCATACATTTTATACAAAATAAAAATTATTAAGCAATACCCTCCATGGTATCTAAATTCAATTATCCTGTCCCCTTTTTTAAAAAGAATCTTTCTTAAAAAATTCTTGAAATTAAGCATGATATTTAGTTGGATGTATGTTAACCATCAGTTTGGCTCTACCCTGGATTAGGTTCTACAACATTTTAGCTCCATGTATCTGGATTCTCAAGAGAATGAAAAGTTTGAAAAGAATATTAAGATCTTGATTAATTAAAAATCAGAATTATTGCCAATCAAATAGCAAATGTGAGCAGCGTATCCAATGTACATAGATCAAGAACACAGGGGTAAATATTTTCACGAAAATATCATTTTCGGGTAAAATAATTAAAACGTATGAAAAAATTGCCCTTTTGCCCAATTTAAAATTTTTCCCTCCAAATCTACTAAACCCTGTTCCTTTGCATGAACAGAGAAAAGTTGGTTACTTTTTGGGATGTGTAGAGAAAATTTTTGAACCTCCTAAAAATGAGAAGAATGATACGAATATTGCTAATAATGTTAAATACATGAAAATAAACAAATACCAAATATTTTTTTACTTAATTATACAAAAAAAAAATGTTGAAATGAGCATGAATTGTAAAAGTAACACCCTACAGGTTCTGGTTGTCTACCAGGCAATTGCCCTGATGCAGGTGTTTATCAAGATCTTGAACGAGGCCAGGATGATGATTGAAGAGATAGGAGAAGCCACGAATACTGTTAGTCTGCTTGAACACATCATTATCCAGGGACCGGAGTTGATAAAATGCGAAGGCCGTTGTACTACGTAGAATGACAACTTACCTTTTATAGCTGGTTATACTAAGTTATTAAATTTTTGTGCTATCCTAGTGACTAAAAGTCAAGTTCTGTCCCAGCCAAAAGATTGATGAACCTGATATTTGCGGCGCACTTATCATGGTTGGAATTGACTAGTTTGTCTCCACCAGCTGAATTTTAATTAGGGTTGATCAAAATTTTTACTTTTGAACCGGTGATTCATGATTTGAATTTATTCAACTCGGTTCTAGATATTCTTCATATTGAACTTCCTCATCTTCCTGGGAGAACTTGGAATCTTCGTATATCTCGGGTGATAAATTGATAAATTGATAAATTGAGTCAAATAATCGTCTTTATATCCCCAAATTGTTATAGATCTTAATGTACTGTTTACCACAATCTCTTGACTGAAGAAAAACAAATAATGTGTTGATCTAAATCAAATAAAATACGAAAAACAATTAGAGATTCATTTTAAACATAATATAGGGGCCTAAGAAACGTACATAAAATACAATTAGAGATTCATTTTAAACATAATATAGGGGCCTAAGAAACGTACATAAAATACAATTAGAGATTCATTTTAAACATAATATAGGGGCCTAAGAAACGTACATAAAATACAATTAGAGATTCATTTTAAACATAATATAGGGGCCTAAGAAACGTACATAAAATACAATTAGAGATTCATTTTAAACATAATATAGGGGCCTAAGAAACGTACATAAAATACAATTAGAGATTCATTTTAAACATAATATAGGGGCCTAAGAAACGTACATAAAATACNGCTGACTTTCTTTAGATTTAAGATCGTCTTATAACTTTTCTCACAATCGAAATTTACAATCATTGTTGCAGAAGATTGGACACCTGTACTTCATTTCCAGAAGAGAAATTAAAATATTTAACTTCATTTAGTTTTTTGTTCAGTTATGTGTTCTTCTCTGAGATCAAGATTGTGCAGCACGATGATATCATCGAAGAATACTATTGTGTTCTCGGAGTCTGGAATATAACCATCATCATCTTCGTGGTTCACACAGTCCTCCTATTCTTCAGATTCTACATCGTCATTCAGTCTGTTCTCAGGTATTAGAATTCAAGAAACTGATCACTCTCTTACTTACTTCTAGTCCTGGTACCTTAGCAATCAGAGGTAGTTAATCTTAAATAATCAATACTTGATCTCGTTATTCAAAGTGGACACTTTAAAATTTGAAGATAAATGTTTAATCCTTCAAGTAAAGTTATCCCTGCAGGGTAGGACCATTGACTAACAGCGGATATTGAAGAGGAATTAGATTAATCCGCAGGTCTACATAAGATGGAGATCAATGTTTGATCCTGATATTTACAATACAAAAGTTTTGACTTCTGTCGTCAAAGACCCCAGATGTTTTACTCTGTGAACTCTGCTTGATCAAATGATATAAGTTTGAAATATCATAGGTTCACACCATCAAACTGCAAATGCACAAGGATTAGACAATTGATCAGAGCTGGGAATTTTTTGGATACTCATAATATACCAATCTCTTGATCCCGATTTTCCGATGTCCACTTGTAATTTTATGATCAATGCTTAATCTCTTCATTTCAGTTACACCGCGAATATCAAATAAAAATTAAAGTTATCTGAAAATTATCAAAAGATCGGAATCAAGCATTAAAGTAAATCTAGATAGCAAGTAACATTCTTAGTAAACGCTCATATACATTCGAACACTTACATTTGCAAAGAAATCATTTGAAATCATTAAGAATTGCAATTGAAAACACTTGCAATCAAAACTCAGGAACGATAATAATTTTATTAATGCACCCCATTGTTTAATCGTAATTGTTACTGATTCTATTTGACGAGTTTGATTGTAATTAAATGTGCTTACATCAATTCAGCTGGTTTATTTTTAGTTCAAAAAAGGGTTGATTACCATCACGAAATATTTTAGTGAACACAGCGACGTTGATGTAGACTCCTCTATCGAACCGAATGAGGATATAGTCCAGGAGGACATAGAAAACGAAAGCAGAACGACTCTTAAACAGGAAAATGGAAGCAGGAAATCTCTTAAACAGGAATGAAGCAGCAGGAAGACTCACAATGATTAGAACTTTCGGAGAATAAACAAGTTTAAAGGGACAGAGACGTACTTTAAAGTTGATGTTCCATTCGCCAGGTTTCTCTTAAAATCTCTGCACTCATGTTTCAGCTATAAAGATAAGAAATAAGGATGTATAGTGTTTTTCAACCTTCGCTTATATCTCTAATTTTTTTATATTAAACAATTAAAATTGAAAAAAGTCAAAGTATTTGATCTCCGCATTTTTATGATCTTTTGGATGTGACGTAAATTGATTTTAATTTTGCTTTCGCCTTGACATGTAATTTATTGTATGCATGTGACAATTGTTTTAAATTCTGTAATGCATGTGATAAAACTTGTAATTTATGTTATCCATGTGAACAAATCATAAGACTTGTAATTTATGTTATCCATGTGATAAAATCATAAAACTTGTAATTTATGTTATCCATGTGAACAAACTGTTTCTCCGATATCTGGGATGTAAATTTATGAATATATTAAGCTAAGAGCTGATTAGAAGAATGAGTGGAAAACCTATGAATTTATCAGTCAGCAGCTCAACTGGAAGCAACAGAAGCAGTTCAGATGAATCATCTTCTGAAGATGCTGTAATCAAAGATAACCTAAAACTTACTTCTACCAAAAACATTGAAGATGATCAGACTAAACCATCTGAAGCTGCTACTGCAAAAGATGGAACTGGAAAAGCTGAAGATGTTGCAACCAAAGATGTTGAAAACAAGAAAGGAACAGAAGATGATGAGAAGGATAAACCTACTAAGAAGGAAGACCTAAATGAAAAACCTAGTGCTCCTGTTCGTATAACTATACCTAGAGCTGATGATCTGGCCAGCCTACTTTCTGTCAACCTCAGGGTAAATAAATATTTGGCTAATTTCTTGCTTGTCTGAAGTTGTTTTTTATTTACATGAGATATCATAGACAACTTAATAAAGTATTAGTTACTAAAAAACTAATATTTAAAGAAAGGTCTTTTTAAAGAATTGACTTTTCTTTTACGCGGGAATTAAACACAAACTCACATTTACTAATCCTTATATCTTTGCAACCTAATGTTCTAAACCATTGATTTTTCAAAATAAGACTATTTGATCTAACAGAATTTATAGTTTGAAACATCAAAGGTCTACAACATCGGGTTGCTCAGAGATAGGGATTAACAAAGTCTGAGTTTGTGGATAAAAATTAGTTTCTTTGTTCATTTACCGTTGTAAAAAGAAAAGCTATTGAATTACAAATAATGAAAGTAATACAGTTACCCACAAAGAATGATACAATAAAGACGACCTGAAACTCTTTATATATAACGATTCTAAGTAAAGTCTTCTGTCTTGATTAAATTCGCTAATAGATTATTTAATGATGTGTCAAATGAGTCAAAGAAGTTGAGAGTTGCAGGGAACCATGAATATAAGGAAACAGGGAATGTAAAGGATTCGAGTCTTTGCCACAAACGAAGATTTTCTAATCCCTATATCTTTGCAACCCAATGCCGTAGACCTTAGATATTTCAAACTATGAGTTCTGGTAGATTAAATAATGTAAGTTTGAAATATCAAAGGTTTGCTCCATCAAGTTGCTAAGATATAGGGATTAGAAAATTTGAGTTTGTGACAATGATTCAATTCCTTTCGTAGAGGGTGTTCCCGGTGAGACGTATTCGAAATCGTCTTTGTAAAGAATTAGCGTTGTGCTACCTAATTTCAATGCTCAAAATAAAGTTACGTCTTCTAGAGTATTTTTTATGTAAATGGTGTACAGTATGCAATAAAAACAAATTCTGAACTCTATCAGACGGATTAAAGCTGTCCTAGTAGATAATAAGCATCACCAAACTAAATCATAAAATCATTTACAAAGACGGTATAAAAATCGTCACTGAATTCCCTGTTTATTGGAACATAGCGTACAGTCGCCTCTAAAGTCTCATCCATTGTGGGTAACTTTATACTGTAGTATGTAAATGTAAATAAATTTGTGTAGACGGATGACAGGATTAAGTTCTCTTGGAGTAAGATAACTGTGTCCACTAGGTAGGTTTATTAACATCTACAGCACCATGTTTCCTTGAAATTTGTTTTAAAAGTACTAAATCCTCCTCCATTAGTAAATTATGTAATCTTAATCCATTAAAGAAACTGAATCTTGTCTAAACTCTTTTCTAATACCTTTATCTTAAGAACTCAATGTTGTGGACCTCAGATATTTCAAGCATTGAATTATGTCAGATAAATTAATCTAAATGTGAAATATCAAAAGTTTACACCATTAGGTAGCAAAGAGGATAATAAAAAGTTGAGTTTGTGGCAAAGATTTAATTTCTTGGTTTCAGTGAACTAAGATTTTGGAAATGAATTTATAAATAAAAAAACATGGATACCAAAAACTTGATTAAATGAAATTGAGCTTGGTCACTGAAATACCCTTTCAAGGGTTCAAATCTGGAATGACCAATATAAAGCTGAAAAATCATAAGGATATGAATCGGTGATTCAGGATTTGAACCGGCAGGAGGTACGTCAGCGACTTTTCCAATTCATTAAATTCTGCCCAGGACTTATTTTAAAGTCATAATCCACTCAGATTTTCACATTGAAGTGTTCCCATAAAGATTGATTAAAAGACTATTCTTAACAATTAGAAACAGTACCCCCCGATCTATTATGTTTCGATGACATGGCATCTTTTCATTCATATTTTATAATAAGTGAACGGTCCCTTTAACAATTAGAAACAGTACCCCCCGATCTATTATGTTTCGATGATATGGCATCTTTTCATTCATATTTTATAATAAGTGAACGGTCCCTTTAACAATTAGAAACAGTACCCCCCGATCTATTATGTTTCGATGACATGGCATCTTTTCATTCATATTTCATAACCCCCAGAGATACCTTATGAATCCTAAAAAGCATCTCTTGGGTTTCTACATTTACTAGAAAGAAATTTCTTCAGATTTCTAATTAGGAACCAAACCTAATAGTTCTAGCTCTTCTTCCGTCTTTTTTCGGATAAAGGTTTATACATGGTATCGTTGATATATAGCACTCTGAAATTAAATTATATATTATAGACCTGGACTGAAAATGTGCGGTCTACGTGGGAAAACTCCAAAAAAGGAGATTCTGAAAGAAGGTAAAATATATAATTAAACATAAATATTCTATAGCGATTTCTTCAGACAATTTGTATCAAAATAAGTTTTAAAATTCATAGATTTGAATTTTTTATCCGGAAGACGTAAAGAAAATCTGATCTGATTCAGCTTACCCGATTACTCAGCCATGTTCTATGTGTTCTGGGAGCTACAGGGTGTTCCACGAAACATGACAGTTAGTGCATAGTTTAAAATGTCTTCTTCCATAATTTGTTAGGCTGTTTAATACCAAAGAGAATAAGATAAGATATTATATAGCACTCATGTTATTGTAAAACTTATTTCAAAGAAAAATATATTTGAGTAAAAGATTTTATTAACAAAATAAACTGCAAAAAGTCTCTAACATATCCAATGCAGCATATTGAAGAAGACATTCAAAACTATTCACCAACTGTAATGTTTCGTGGGACACCCTGTAGTATACTTATTTTTAGTAGATATTTCCTATATATTATCATATTTAGTAGATACTACGTCTAGCTGTTCTGGGAGCTACAGAGCGTCCCATATCATATTAGATCTTTAACGCCAAAATACGCACATAATACTAAAAAATCTAGCATTTTCTGCAAACAAAATTTCTATTAGCCTTATTATTTTTTTTAAAATGATTCATTCTTCTTAAATTTTCTGATTTAGACCCATTGATGCGGTCTAATTTGATGTGGGACACCCTGTAGTATACCTATTTTTAGTAGATATTTGCTATATATTACCATGTTTAGTAGATACTACGTCTAGCTGTTCTGGGGGCTTGTTTACTTATTTTTAGTAGATATTAGCTATATATTACCATGTTATGGAAAATCTACTCTTCTCAATACTCTGCTCTTCAGAAATATGGGGAAACTCGAGGTAACAAATTTTCTTGGTAGATAGTTTTTATAAACGTAAATTCGTTTTCAATTTAGAATTGTTTATAAGTAATAATTTAGGTTATTAGAAGAAAAAATATCTTTGAATTTTTAATAATTAGATGTTTTGATTTTGATCATTTTTAATTTTTGAGGGCTCCTTAGAAAACTCTTTAACAAAAAGTCTTTTAATTCGTAATTGAAAAAGGTCGATATAAATGATAAAGATGAGAGTTTGAAACGGCAACTGTTCAGTTACGGAACAATGGAAAATGTCAAGGAAAACATAATGATTTAAAGAAATGTGTAGATTTTCATGTTTTTAAAACTGACTCCTTAATCTAGGTTTCTGGGACTAGGATTGCCAATAACGCTCTTGTAACTCCAAACAATCTGACAGCTCTCTCAGGTAAAAATTAATATTCATAAAGGGAAATGTTTTTCGACGATTTTGGGAAGAAAAAAATGTGTATTTACCAACTGGCAAGTCCCTTTTTTGCACCTTTTTTCCTCCTTTAATTATTTAGTCTTTTCAATTTAAAAAGCTAAAAAATGCCTGTTTCTATTCTCAAATTTTGCAGGGGTATTTAGAAAATCCTGATAAAATTTAATATTTTTGTATATAGTGATATAAAATAATATTCATTTTTTCTAGGATATTTTTTGCAAGATATGTAAATATATGTATACAATATACAAGTTAATTTTCTAATGTGTGCTTTTTCTAGGATATGTCCAGCAAGATGATTTGTTTATTCTTGGTTTAACCGTTCGTGAACATCTCTGCTTCCAGGTATTACAGGGGTATCTATTATCTACTATATATAATTTGGCCTCTGTTTTAGTTTTTATCAAAAAAAGTAAAAATGGATAAACTGGTCGGGCCCACATATTGTGACAACTCACATGACCCCATGGGAAAGCTTATGGACGGTCAAAATTGAAAAATGTGAAATATTATGATGTTTTAAAATCCCTTAAAGGGAGTGTTCGTGAAAAATTAAGGGGGGTATAGGCTTAATGCGATCGCTACTAATTTTACTTCTATCTGTTGCGTCTATAAGGAGAAAATTGTTAAAAACGACTAATACCGAAGAAAGTAGTGTCCATACAAATTCAGAAAGATGCAACACTCAACTCGGATCGTAAACAAATCAATTTAATTCCAAACAAATCATTCAGATATTACAAACAATAGTCATCGATTATTTTTCGACGCATTTGTAAATAGTTGATATTTCATAATATATTGTACTTTTCATGATCTGAGAGTTACTTTTGAAAACATTTATTCCTGTTTCGAGGATTTTTGATAATGAAGACGACATTTTCATATTTTCCAGGAATGTTCGAAAATCCAACGCCAGCGAAAATTATTTTTAAAAATCAAAAATATTATGAAATATTAACTATATACGAATGTGTCGAAAAATAATAGATGGCTACTGTTTGTAATATCTGAATGATCTGTTTGGAATTAAATTGATTTGTTTACGATCCGAATGTTGCATCTTTCCGTATTTGTCTTCGGTTCTGTTCATTTAAAAGTTCAGAGCTTCGGGTCGACAAAGTAGATTTTGTTATCTTCATTGAGGTTAATTTTCCCTCAATTACTGTTATGTAATTTTTATAACTTAAGATTCATTTCTCACACAGAGTCTAAATATATAAGATAATGAAATTATTTTTACGAAGGCGATGGTGAGGATGCACTGTGGGTTGAGTAAAGAGGAGAAGTGGGAGAGGGTTGAGGAGGTTCTAGACGAGGTAAGGAATTAGAGAATGTTAATTGTGAAATTCACGGGTTTGTGAGTTGCGTCAATCTTCATGCTAGTTACGGATCTGAGGGCGGATTGTTTTCAAGATCAATGTTAATTTAAAGGGATTAAAAACTGTACAGTTTACATTAATTTAGTCGAAGCTGAATGATGTACAGTAAACCTTGATAATTGTACAATATACACTACAGCATACATTCATAGCATATTTAGTTGGAGCTACGTGATGTACAGCATACCTTGATATCTGTATATTTAGTTGGAGCTACGTGATGTACACTGTACAGCATACCTTGATATCTGTTTATTTAGTTGGAGCTACGTGATGTACACTGTACAGCATACCTTGATATCTGTATATTTAGTTGGAGCTACGTGATGTACAGCATACCTTGATATCTGTATATTTAGTTGGAGCTACGTGATGTACAGCATACCTTGATATCTGTATATTTAGTTGGAGCTACGTGATGTACAGCATACCTTGATATCTTCAGCCACTAATGAGGTTGAGGGTATATCTGGAGGAGAAAAGAAAAGATTATCCTTTGCTTGCGAGGTGTTTATATTTCTATTTAAAAAAGGCTTTTAGACGTGCGTTTCCCCCCCTTTTCTATTATTGATAGCTTTATTTGCCATAATTTCTTCATCGTACATAAAAAAAACTACAGAATTGCGCAGATTTTCAGGGTTATATATTGACGAATTTCCAATATTTATTTTAGTGGCATTTTTTATATTTATACCGGACATATACAGGGTGTCCCACATCATATTAGATCATTTATAGCTCTAAATTGTGTCTAGATTGAGTCATTTAAAAAAATTTATAAGGATAATTAAAAAATTTACATGCAGGAAATACTATTTTTTTCCGAGTATTATGTGCGTATTTTGAATTCAGAGCTTGGTGATAATCCGATACAATATGGGACGCTCCGTATTATATATTTTCTCTGTGGGTGATGACGGGTTGGTCACCCTAAACTAAGCTTTCGGTGCGTTCTGCATTGATCTGAAGTACTCTGACCGAAGAAATAGCGGGATTCAGTTGAGGGTGTGGTCCACTTTTTTTCTAATGACACTTAAATAGCAAATGAGGCTCTTTGTTAAAAATATGAAAAGCTGGGGTCATTGAAGTGTATTCGATACAAACAGACAGACATGTAAGCATAATTAATTTCTCTCGTGTTCTTTCGATACAGGTTGTTAATATTTTAGGTGTTGACCAGCCCTTCCTTACTGTTCTGTGACGAACCAACAAGTGGACTGGATTCTCATATGGCGAGCAGTGTTATTGATGTTATGGTCAAGTTCGCGGAGCAGGAACATTCATCCTCTCCGATATACACATCTTTAACCTAGCTTGAACCTTGAACCTTGAACCTTGACCTTTGAATCTTAAACCTAAAACCTTGATTTATTCATTTTAAACCTTACTAGACATTTTTTACTTTGAAACTTTGTACATTGAATCATGAACTTTGAACCTTGAACCTTGAACCAATCTTGATCTTCGAATCTTAAACCCAAAACCTTGATTTATTCATTTTAAACCTTACTAGACATTTTTTACTTTGAAACTTATACATTGAATCTTGAACTTTGAACCTTGAACCTTGAATCTTGAACCTTGAACCTTGAACCTTGAACCTTGAACCTTGAACCTTGAACCTTTAAAATAATGAACCTTGAACTTAAAACCTTGAACTGTAAACCTTAAACTTTGAACCTTGAAACTGATGAACCTTGAACCTTGAACCTTAAACCTTGAACCTTAAACCTTGAACCTTAAACCTTGAAACATGAACCTTTAACCTTGAACCTTGAACCTTGAACCTTGAACCTTTAAAATAATGAACCTTGAACTTTAAACCTTGAACTTTAAACCTTGAACTTTAAACCTTAAACTTTGAACCTTGAAACTGATGAACCTTGAACCTTGAACCTTAAACCTTGAAACATGAACCTTGAAACATGAACCTTGAACCTTGAACCTTGAACCTTGAACCTTGAACCTTGAACCTTGAACCTTGAACCTTGAACCTTGAACCTTGAAACTAATGAACCTTGGACCTTGATCCTGAAGCCTGGAACCTTAATCCTGAAGCCTGGAACCTTGATCCTTGATCTTTGGTCATTGGTCATTGATATATCAACCTTTATCTTTGATCTGTGATTCTTAATATTTGATCCTTGGTCATTGATTCTTGATCTATGATCTCTGAACCTTATGAACTTTTAACTTACTTTCAACTTTCAACTTTCAACTGATAAAACTTTGAACATGGAGAATAAGGATAAGTATGTCTCCAGGGTAGAACTGTTCTAACTACCATCCATCAACCATCTTCTCTCATTTTCTCAAAGGAATCCATATTAAAAAGCTGGGACATATTATTATTTGTTGTTGCAGGGAACCATAGAACCTTAGAAAAATGACAATACTGTCGTCCATGATTTAACTTGTGTAGCTAAAATATATGTGGATTCATGATCAGATGGATCAGCTGATGTTGATGTCCGAGGGTAGAACCATCTACCTTGGTCCTGCTTCTAATGCTCTTCTCTTCTTCAACAAGTAGGATAGGGATAGGGATAGTGATAGGGATAGGGATAGACAGAAATTTACTTTTTTATTTAATTTCTAGGTGTGGATTTGAATGCCCATCAAAATATAATCCTGCTGATTTCTTCATAGATGCACTTGCAATTAACCCAGGTAAGATGGGTTAGAGTTTAAACTGAAATTATTACAGGGGACCCATAAAACAGGAATAGGAAGACGATATTAAAGCTTAATGATATAAAGCCAATTGAAAATCAACTTCAAGCGAAATGGGTCTATGTGTACACTGAACAATTGCTTCCTTTCGTGTTTTTTGAACTAATTAAAATCATATCTCGAGTAACAGTCGTGTTTCTCTTATAATTTTTGGGTCTCACTGTAGGTATACAAAGATAATTAAAGATTTCTGATATTGTCAATTATCGTTGCTTTATCGGTAAAACATTTCCGAAAAGTAATTTGACACGTTTGACAGGGTTTCACGTACTCTGCACAGATTGTTATGTCCGGTACACAGGACTCGATGTACAGAGTGGCATGTTCGGTACACGGGACTCGATGTACAGAGTGTTATGTCCGGTACACGGGACTCTATGTATAAGTGTTATGTCCGGTACACTAAAAACCTTACCTGATCAAACATGAATTAGATATTTATGGTTAACTATTCAATATTTTCAACTGTGGAAAAAATCGAATTTTGCATTTCTTCTGCAGATACAATGGGAGGAAGTTATCAGAATTGAATACTTTTCAGATTAGAAAAACGAAACATCTTCCACGTCGTTTTGATCAGATAAAAGTTTAAAGGGTACTATTGAGAACCTGACATTGTTTTAGCGGATCCTGAGAGGAGTAGGAAGAAGGTTGAGAAGATAGCCAACAAGTTCAAGGAGAGTAGGGTTGGGATAGATCTAGAGAATGAGATAGAGAATGATCTCAAGTATCTGGCTCTTAGTGAAGAAACAGTCTCAAGATCTCCTTACAAGGTTGGTGCTCTTTTTTACACTTATCTAACAGTTTGCTCCTCGTCCCAGCATGCTGTGACTCATGTGGGTCAGTTTACCTGACCCGTCTGACCTGCCACTTTCATATTTGGAAAGTAACTGCAAATTTTTAGCAAACATCTACCAATTTGGGACAACAAATCTACCAATTTGGGACAACAAATCTGCCAATTTGGGACAACAAATCTACCAACTTGGGACAACAAATCTGCCAATTTAGGGGATAACTCTACCAAGTAACAGAAGAAAATGCAATTTTAGTCAAACATTTCTGCCACTTTTGCTTTTAACCTGAGCTGCCACAGTAAATATGGGAGGAACCCTGTTGTCACTTTCGATCATAATTTGTCGTTTTAATTTTAAAGTAAAACATAAAAGACAACCCTGTAAGATGAACATTTTTGAATTATAGACCAAAACGCGATTGGATTCAAATTGGAGAAATCAAACGCTTTTAGCCCTGGTAAGTCCAGGGTCATTTCATTCACTTCATTTAACATGATGAAGGATAACGTGTAACATATGTGGAATTACGACTTTGCGCAATCTCGTTCTCTCATGGATTGGCTCTTCAGGCAAATAAGTTGTGTTTGAAACGGACTGAAGAGCATTTTGAAATATATATTACTTTCTATTTGTATCAAGTAAACAATGTATACAATCCAGTTCTGCAATATTTCTGTAACTGAAAAAAAAATTTCGAAATCAATTTTTCTGCTTTTCGCTGAATTTTGAGCATGCCTTGAATTCTCAGACATATTTTGCAGAGATACAATATATATACACACTATACAGTGAGAAGCAGAAAATCGTGGATAGGAGGACAACGTTAGAGCAATAATTGAGTTTATTTGATGTGTTGTTTAAAAGCCAACATTTTTACAAGTAACTATAAAATCACTTGTTAACAATTGATGTGTCTGTTTGTCGGTTTTCATTTCTAGCACATTTGTAAAATATTTATAAAAAGTTCGTCTGATAAATAAATATTTTTGTAAATTATCTAGAAATCATTTGTTGACAATTTATGAAATTTTAAGTTTTAATATTTTTATTGGTTGATTTAGGCTAGCTGGGCAACTCAGTTTATTGCCTTATGTTGGAGGAACGCTACTAACGTGAGAAGAGGAGGTTGGATCGTTCTTGTAAGAGTTCTTACAAATATGGTAAGTTAATCATTGTTTTATAGTAAACTAGCTGAAGGGCCTGGCATTGGCTGTAAAAATCTTTTGAAAAAAATCGATTTTTTTTAGCCTATAACACCCCCCTCCCACCCATGAGTGATCACAAAAAAAAATCAGCCCAATCGGTCCAGCCGTTTGGCCGGCTATACGCAATATATATATATATATATTATATATATACGAATGTCTTGTTTTATTATATAGATAGTTCGTTAATCGTTAATACCAGGTAGATGGATCTAGATATATTTAGTTTAAATTTTACCTATTCAATATATGTTTGTTCATCCAAACAGCAAGGGACTCTCTAATCGCTGGTTGTTTTGAATGACAGACCCTTATGTAAACAGAGGATTGACAAAAATGTATTAACAATTCACAAAATCAAACACATACAAAATTAAGAATAAAATTTAAAAAATGGAATATCGGAAATAGATTATGAAAGGTTATGGAAAAGGTGTGTGGAACAGCAATAAACAAGGGGGGGGGGGTAACCCAGCACACAGGGAAGGGAAGGGAAGGGAAGGGAAGGGAAGGGAGAAGAGATTATTATTGTTGATGTTATAATTTTTTTTCTTCAGTTAACTGCTCTCAGTTTTGGTTCCCTGTATATGGGTATAGATAGTAGTACTCTGAGTGGAGCGGTTTCCATCAACGGTGGATTATTTCTGCTGGTGGCAGTCCTGGCCTTCTCCAACATCTTCCTTACCATCAACGTGTTCAATCCGGAGATCAAAATATTCTTTAGGAAAACAATCTTTTTCTTGCTTGTTATTTTTAGATATCGTTTCATCATCATTTAATTCTTAAAGCTTTTTTAAATACAAGTTTAATTACTAAACAATAAGTTCACGTGTATTAAATGTTTACAGTTGTGCTTTTCCAGAACAGTAATGTCATTTAAGGAATTGATATGAAAAACGATTTCTACGATTTCCATGCTTTCTTGGAAAATTATCTTGTGTTACCTAATATTTTAGAAATGAAATACTAGTTGGAGGATCATTGATCAGGAGAATGAGAAAAAAGTTACAAAATAAAGATGTCGAGTTTTTGCCATAAATTCAATTTTCCCGTTCCTGTATCTTTGCAACATGATAGTGTAAACCTTGGATATTTGAGAGTTGAGGGTTGAGGGTTGAGAGTTGAGGGTTGAGGGTTGAGGGTTGAGGGTTGAGGGTTGAGGGTTGAGGGTTTAAGGTTGAGGGTTTAGGGTTAATAGTTTGAAATAGTTTGGTTACAACATCGGGTGGGAAGGATAAATTTAGATATTAGAATATCAGAGTTTGTGGCAAAATCTTAATTGCCTTTACGGTCTAGACTCTTGTGACTTCTGTGTTCAATGGGATGGGAAAGGGTCTAATTGTTTCTGTTCTCTTCTGAAAAATATAAAGATCGTTTTAATGCTTAGAGAACATTTTAGCGGAATGTACAGAGTGGACACCTTCTATCTAGCTAAAGGGGTAAGAATCAAAACCTTAAAAAATTTTTTTTTAAATTTGTAAAAATCCAAACTGAAATTGCTTTTGACGTTATTTCAACAATCTTTATCAATTAAGTAGCTGTTAAAAAAATGTTAAGTCATCAAAATAATCTCTGTTAGAGAGGAAATCTTACATTTTTCTGTTATAATGACTTTAAATATGTCCATTGTCCACTTAGCAAGGGATCTTAATCTTTCTTAATTCCAAATCTAGGGGTTTCATTGTTATTTTTCTGCAATTTGATTAAAGGGACTGTAGACGTATTTTAATGTACCCGTCCATTTAGAAAAATAGTTTTCTAATTGTAGATTTACAAGAGTACCCTTTAAAGCTTGTCATGAACAGTGCAACCGGGCTCTTGACTTCCTGTGTTCCTATAGGAACACATTTTTAGTTCAATATATCTATTTTTCAAAGACAAGACATGGAATATTAGGTCTTCAAGGTTGTTTTTAAAAGTGAATTTTTTCTACTATAAAGCAAATTGAGCAGGTTTGATGATGCATCTATGAAATCTATACTCGTTATATTTTTTCATAGTTTTGCAAGGTCACAAAGTCGTATCAGTAATGTTGCAAAAATTTTACCTTCTTCTTCCGACTAGTTTGCAGTAAGCTTTAAACAAAATTTACTCTAAACATCCAAGCTAACTTGAACCTGTCAAACAATAGGTAACGCTAATTAATAAAACATCATTAAAATCGAAAAATACCAGTTTAATCTTGCAAATATGAACATTTTCTCTGCCCTCCCTGCAACCCCCCTCGGTGTGTCAATTATGGATACTTTATAAAAGTAGCTTGCGGATTGCTGGTACAGAAAATGAAGGATCTTGTTAGAACTAAACTAGATACCCTCCCCCCTCCCAAAAAAAAAATGACGATATCTTCCAAATTCTTGTTCAGATAATGGCATGCTTCTCTTCAAATGTAGGGTCACTTATAATTACGTTTATATAGACTTATGAAGAAAATATTGAACATTGAACAACTTCATTATTTTTTTATTTATTCTGTTTCTAGATTATTGATTTGCCGATCAGCCTTGTGTCTAACATCGCCTTCCTGATGGTGTTCTACGGTCTGCTGGGGCTCAGCTGGGCCAAGTTCCCCGCAGTGCTGGTCATCGTCATCTGTACAGTCATATCTGTTTCTTCATTCGGTGAGAACTCAGATTTTTTAATCATAGGGTTTATGATTGCTAGTATTGTCGCAACTATGTTCCAGTTCAGGGTTTATGATTGCTAGTATTGTAGCAACTATATTCTATATTCAGGGTTTATGATTGCTAGTATTGTAGCAACTATATTCTATGTTCAGGGTTTATGATTGCTAGTATTGTAGCAACTATTCAGGGTTTATGATTGCTAGTATTGTAGCAACTATATTCTATGTTCAGGGTTTATGATTGCTAGTATTGTAGCAACTATGTTCTATGTTTAGGGTTTATGATTGCTAGTATTGTAGCAACTATATTCTATGTTTTGGGTTTATGATTGCTAGTATTGTAGCAACTGTAGATATTGGATTAGCTTTAACTCCAATGATGGTAATGCCTCTGATGCTGCTGGGTGGTCTATTCATATCTATCAAGTAAGAAGAAAGCGTACAAGATAAAAAAATTTTAAAATGTTTATTTCTGTGATTTTATTTAACACAATGTATTAGTATTCCGCCCTTATGTTAAACATTATCTTTATTATCTTTTTAAACAGACACGGTTCAACCCCTTATTTTATGAAAAGATCATAACCTCTGTTTAATAACTGGTACCTTCCACAATCCACATCTCCTAAATGTTTGAACAATCATTCAAACGTTTTACCCATATAGTTTTATTGAGATCGTAAACATTTTTGAATTTTACTTTCCTTTCCATTTTTTTAAATTTACTTTTTTCTGAAACTTGATCGAATACATTTATATAAAAGAGGTGTTTACCCATCAGTAAATATAAGTTTATGCATTTTAGAAAAGAAAAAGTTTTCAAAATTTCGCTATTTTCTGTTCTAAAACTTGATCGACTACATTGAGATACAAGAGGGGTTTACACATCTCTCCAAGTGAACACTTTTTTGTCTAAATTTTGCCACTTGAATCAGGATCTATGGATTCGCGTATTTTTATGGATCTATTCCTAATCCTAGCCCAATCGCTGTGGATCCGAATTAAAAAATATTTGAGACAAAACCCAGAACAATTTTTTGTATTATTTTAGCGCTCTGCCTCCTTACACGAAACCGGTGAGGTTTATCTCCTTCTTCTTCTTCGCATTCGAGGCCCTGGCCTCTAATCAGTGGGAGGATACACAGGCAGGATTAGATACTTGTCACGTGAAATTAAAGTAAATTTTATGACAGATCTTTTATGTTTTCTGTCATATCTCTCACTGGAGCTATTGAGAAGTCAGATGTTTTGAATTTCTAGTGTGTAACTTAATAAATTTGTTAAACTCGTGCTTTGGGGTAAAATCAAAACCAGAGGAGCTACGACGTCACACAGTCATGCCAGTTACACTTTTTATCCATGAAAAGAATTGATTTATCATCTCAAACTCGAGTTTTGAAATGAGGAAATCAAAACAAAAAAAAGCTTTTAATCGGGGAAAAATCTGTTTTATAAATGTACGTACTACGTTAAGTGAGAAACAAATTCTGATTTGTTATGATTTTAAATAGTCCAATTAACATGTAAAACAGCAACTGTTTTGCTTTACAACATTTTATTAAATACGCATCAAATGGCTTTAACATTGTCTTCCTCGTGAATTGAAGTATATCTATCCCTGTGTTCAGGGGATATCCCTACACTGTCCTAAGAACTTCAGTATAACTGCCAATATAACTGATTGTGGAACTGTAGATGGAGCAGAGCTGCTATATCAACAAGGACTGGAAATGGTAACTATTTACAGTTTTTAATTTTTAACAAAAATATTTTTTTTTGATTCTTTGTTTTTACCACATGTCTATTTGTGAATTTTAAGGGTACTGTAGTCTGTAGTCTATAGTCTGTCTAGACTTAATTTCAAATACCCGCCATTTATAGAGTATCAAGAATGAGATTCATGTTCTTAACTTTAAAAATTGATTATTTTTTTCGTGGCTTCTCTTAAAGTGACAGTAACAAAGGATACCGTTGTGAACATGTCCAGGGCTTGATGTATTCGGTTTCATTAATTTGAATTCAGTCGGGTCAATTTAAACAACATCAAACCCCTTTCAGTAAATCCTATTCTTTCCTTTAGACTACCAAACATTGTTTTTCGGGAATTATTTTTGTCTCTATTAAATTATTTTTTAAATTATTGATTAAATTATAAAAATTATTATATTATATTAAATTATCAATCATTAATAATAATTTAAAATTATTAATTATATTAATTATTATATTAAGGGCCACAAATGGATCGATTCCGGAGCACTGTTGGTCCTAGCAATCCTCTTCCAGATCATCGGCTTCATCGGGCTCAGCATCAGAGCCAGGAAACGGTAGATCAAACTGATCAATCCAATCAGATCAATCAGATTAGATCAACTACATCAAGATCAAATATAATCCCCTGCGCTTTGTGAAGTGTTTTTTTTTGTCATATTTAATGTTGATTTTTATTTGTGTTAATACCCATTTATTGTTAAAGATATTCATGCAAATATGCATGTTGACTAAAATTCCTTGTATTTAGAATGATTTTTATTGTGAATTTAAAATTATGAATATTCATGATATCTTAACTAGGATCATGATTAAAATTAACTGTTATTTTGTAATAAAAAATATCAATAAAGTTTGTAAAACTTATTTTATAAAGTTTCTAAGAACAGTATTTTTTTGTATTTTAGTTTTACTTTTTAATTGAAATGGCCTGTCGCTTTAATACTTTGGTGGCCCTCAAGTTAAAAACAAGAAAATGCCCGATTCACAACGGTACTATTAACACTGATCTGATTAGCAAAAGGAAGATATCGTGTTTCTAAGTTAAATGGGTATTTAATTCCGACAGTTCTACAAATACGTTTACGCTTCTTTTGTAGAAATGCTTAAGCAATTTTTAAACAGAAACCACAATTGAAAATAGCATATTTTTCAGAAGATAAACTAATGTTTAATGCATTCTTAATCTCAAAGCTTTTAAGGTTACCGCTGTGAACCGGTCATTTAATTCCATACGATCCATACACGGGAAGAAATTTTTACGCTGTACAACCCGTTACACGTCACATTTCACCAGAACAATTCAATAGGTGTTCTTAACAAGATTTTTCACAATTATTGAACAGCCCGGACGGAGAAGTTATTGAAGAAATCCTCCGTTGAACTATTTTATGTATTTCATCACATATAGGAAAATAACTTTATACTCAGGACACATCTTGAATAACCCCGGACTCCGGAGACAAATTTCTAATTTTAAACTAACGTTCAAAGTGAAAATTGGGCGTCATTGATTATCTTTAAATAAATAATAAGATTTGTTCGGCTTACAGTAACCGAGATTTTAACTCTTATTTTGAAATCCCTGTATTTTTGCAACCCAATGTCGGAGACCTTTGATATTTCAAACCATATTCCTGTAAGATCAAATAGTCGGAGTTCAAAACATCTAATGTTTACCCCAGCATATATAGGCATTAGGATATGAGAGTTTGTAGCAAAGACTAAGTTCCTGTGTATATATATCAAGACAGGGCTACTGAGTAAATTTTAAGCCTAGACTAGAAAATAGACCAGTGTCCCTCGTTAATTTATTGTTAAATTTATCAAAATTCTCAGGTTTTTAGGGCGATGAACCCAATTTGAAGCACTAGGAGTGTAATACGCGCTTTTCTAAGGGGAGGGCTATTTTTTTATGTCTGAAATGTTAACAAAATGAAAGTTGTGTTTCAAGGGTACAAATAAACAAGATTTTTAGTAGGAAAGTTGTCAATCTTACTGAAAAAGCAACAATTTTCTCCAAGAAAAAAGGTTCACCGTATTTTGAAAACTTTTATATTGTCGAACATCTAGATCTTTATTCAAATTCCCGGCATATTTATCGTACCCTGCAGAAGTAACTGAAATTTAGTGCCCACAGTGAATATCGAAATCAAGCGATCAGACTTAAGAATATCCACCAAAAGTTCCCAGCTCGGGCAGGCGCGTAGTGGAGGTCTAGCCTAGAGGTGTGCACTTTTGGCGCGAGTAAGCGCGGCGAAATTATTTTCTTTGTGCACCCCTAACGGTTGATGTGCGCACCCCCATATACAACCGGTATTAAGAAAAAATAAAGTTTAAAATCTATATTAATCTACCTAATCATCTAACCATAATTACCAATCATTTTAAATGAAACCCCGCGAAAAAAATATTGTAAATAAGATTAAGGTTCAAGAAAGAATTTGAGAAATAATCATAAAATGGACAAATTGTGACATTGTCGATAAATAAGAAAGTCAAAAAATATGAATATATATGTAAGTTTACTGTTTAATAAATTAGAGCCTGCCTCTAGCTGTAGGGGTGCATGTCTAGGTGGGCACAGGGGTACCGACCCCCCCCCCCCCATCCACTACGCGCCTGAGCTCGGGCCATAACTAAGTTTATGTAGGGTGGCAAGCCTCTCCTCGTTAAAAGCACTGGGTTCACTAGATTCCACAGGGGACACACTCCCAACTTCTTAGATAATCTACGGTGGTAGGCGATTATATCAATATGATAAAACGACTTCCGATTTCAATTTTGATTGATATCAAGCTTTTAAGCAGCATGGATACACAAACACATGGAAACAAGCTTTTAAGCAGCATGGATACACAAAATCATGGATACAAAGAGAAGATGTCATTTAAACGAGATTATCTTTAAGATTATCTTGTGAACGTGTAATTCGGAAAGAGCTTGTTGACAATTAAACTTAAATCAAGATGTCGTCTTCATAATATTGTTATAATCGCCTACCACCGTAAAAGATGTAAATCTATCTGTTTAAAAGATGAGAAGTAGTTGTCAATATATTTAACTATTGATTATAAATAAAAATTAATAATTTAAAATGAAATTAGTGTGAGTACAGGACTACTAATTAATAGTGCAATGTTTAGCGTGAAACTAGATTTTATCGATTGTCATAACTTTTAAGTTAAAATTTAAATCAACCCCCTCCCACCATCGAATGAAATAATTTCAATAAAACCCAAAAGTTATTTGGTCTGAAAAACATGATCTTTGACAAGACCAGAAAATACATAATCATCAGAATAGAAAAATAAAATTAACCAAAAAGTAAAAGTTTATATCACTGGTTCCTGCTGAAATAATATGATAAGTGTTGGTTTTCTAAACCTTTAATGTCACTACAGTATCTTTAGTTCATATCACAGCCGAAATGAATCGGTAAGGCTGTCCTCTCTCCGCTCAGCTGTGGACAAGCCGAGCTGAATTAGTTCTGAAAGTTGACACCAGGCGGTGCTGAATTCAAAGTCAATTAAGGTGGATGGAAGAAATGCTAGCAATCAGACTGGCTTTGGCCTTCGCCATTTGGAGAGGGCGAGACGAGACTCTTTTTCTGGTTTCTAAAAACAGTTTCTCTTAAGAAAATATTTGAAAAATGTAGTGAATGATAATCTGGAAACTTTTAAATTGTGGGAGTTATACAACTCTATTCAAAGTTGACTATTTGTGATAACATCTCAAGATTAATAAGGATATTAATTTGGGAATTTAAACTATTTGAAGACTTGGGGAAATTCCCAATCAATTCCAGAAAAATTATGTGTATATGAAGATTTTAAGAAAAAAAAACAATTCCTTGACCCTTTCCATTTTCATGTAATACAAAATGATATCGTAAAAAGTTTTGGTCTCTTTGAGAGAAAAAGTAAACTATTCGTTTCATTTAAGACCTTTTTTTATGGAGCTTGGATTTAAAAGCCTAAACCTGCTGGGGTGAAAGAAGGCCAATCATAGAAGGCGTGATAGATGTTTTTTTTTCTAACAAACTTCCCAAATGAAAATTTCAGACCTTCACAGAAAAATTATGGTTTGTCGGTAAATTGACATTTTCTATAAAATCTGTTTAACGTAAACCAAAAAAGTTTATGATTTTTTTTACCTTGTAAGTCGATCAAGTTCAGCAGCTGCATCAGATCTGACAGACGCTTTATCTAGATATATTCAAATATATTCAAGCTCATTTAATTAATCTAGAATTTAGAATCAGGAACTTTTTCTTTTTCTTTAGAAACAATATCCTCAAACATAAACCAGGGGCGGGGGTCTCAACTGCTATTGGCATAAGCCAATCCCGTAGCTAATGGTTATAAATGATATAATGACGTGTGAAAAAAAACCCCGAATTTTTCTTTTCTTTTTAAATTGAATCCGAATCCAGTCAAAATGAAATAATTATTGAAAAGCGGGATTCAAGAAAGGTTTTAAGAAAAAAGCCAGGTTAAGAAAACATCGAAATTTTTTAAAGATGGGAAATATTTACGTGTTAACATAAATTATGTTAATTTCAAAAATGGGAACATTGAACATCGAGCATGGAATTTTATAGATAGGAACAGCAAGCATGAAATTTTACTATGGGAACATTAAGCATGTAATTATATAGATAAGAACAGTGAGCATCAAATTTTAAAGATGGGAGCATCTAGCATGGAATTTTATAAATGGGAACATCGATCATGGAATTTTATAAATGGGAACATCGATCATGGAATTTTATAAATGGGAACATCGATCATGGAATTTTATAAATGGGAACATCGATCATGGATTTTTATAAATGGGAACATCGATCATGGAATTTTATAAATGGGAACATCGATCATGGAATTTTATAAATGGGAACATCGATCATGGAATTTTATAAATGGGAACATCGATCATGGAATTTTATAAATGGGAACATCGATCATGGAATTTTCGAGTGTCTAAATGAAATTATATGCAGCATTAAGAAAAGCTGGTCAAAATTCCCCCTAAAAAAACTAAATAAAAACCCTGTGAGCATGTAAAATAAATGTATATAATACGGCGCTCATATATATATATATGTATTTATGCATGTATAATATGTATATATATTTATAAGTCGGCTATAGCTGGGCAACCGACTAGACCGAATGGGCCGCCATTTTTTGTGGGAACCCGTGAGTACCCCGGGGTAACATAGGCTATCTAATTTTTTTCTTCTTCAAAAATCAAATTTTTTAAAAATCGAAATTTAGTCTTTCCAAATTCGATTTTTTTCGCTCATATTAATATTTTTGTATATATATGTTAGCTATAGCTGGCCAATCCGGCTAGACAGCTGAAATTTGTTGAGGGAACCTATGGGTATTCCGGGGGTAAAATAGGCTAAAAAATTCTCGTCTTTTCGAATGATTTATACTTTGGAGAAAAAACTCAGCGGGAGCGGTTGAACGAGCGGTTGAGATCTAGCTTAGACTCGACGCAGTTCAGAATAAGAAATTCACCTTTTTTCTCAAATTTAAAATTTGTTCAAACGCTAAAATCGTACTTTTTTCGTCAACATTTTTTTCCACTTTTTAGAAAGAATTTATAAGTTCAACCGCCGAGAAAATACATTTTTTTGCTTTCAACCGCTGAGTTTAAGATTTTCAACAACTTTTTGCTTTCAAGTTGTCAACCAAAGTTTTTCTTGAAATACTTTTAACTTTCCACCGCCAAGTTTAAGATCTTAAATAATTTTTTTGGCTTTCAACTGCTGGTTTTAAAAATTTTCAGCAACTTTTTTCTTTAAACCGCGCGCTGGGTTTAAGATTTTAAATAAATTGTTTTGCTTTCAATCGCTGGGTTTAAGATTTCAACAACTTTATGGTTTCAACCTCTAAAAAATAATTTTTCTGGAAAAGCGTTTTTGCTTTCAACCACTGGTTGTAAGATTTTTTAGAAACTTTTTTCCTTTCAACCGCTGGGTTTAAGATTTTCAACAACTTTTTGCTTTCAACCTCTAAAAAATAATTTTTCTGAAAAAAACGTTTTTTTTCAACCCCGGGTTTTAAGATTTTAAATAATTTTTTCAACCGTGGGTTTTCGGAAACGTTTTTTGCGTTCAACAACTGGTTTTAAGAATTTAAGCAACTTTCAAATTTCGACCACTTGAAAACAATTGTTCTTGAAAGACGTTTCTTTCAACCGACGGGTTTAATATAATATTTTAAACTTTTTTGCTTTCAACCGCTATTTTCAAGATTTCTCAGCAACTTTTTTGCCTTCAACCAAAGTTTTTCTTGCAATATGTTTTACTTTTAACCGCTGCGTTTAAGATTTTAAATAACATTTTGTGCTTTTAACCGCTGGTTTTAAGCTTTTCCGCAACTTCTTCGCTTTAAACCGCTGGGTTTTAGATTTTCAACAACTTTTAGCTTTTAACCACTGGAAAATAATTTTTCCTAAAAAACTTTTTTCTTTTAACCACTGGTTTTCCCCTTTTTTGCTTTCAATCGCTGGTTCGAAGATTTTTCAGCAACTTTTTTGCTTTCAACGGCTGGTTTTAACATTTTGAAAAACTTTTTGATTTCAACCACTGGTAAAAATTTGCTTTCGACCGCTGGGATTAAAACTTTTCATAACTTTTTCATTTCTTTTGATAGCTGCTAAAAAATCTTAAACCTAGCTGTTGAAAGCAAAATAAAGTTGTTAAGAAAAACTGTTTTCAAGTGGTTAAAAGCAACCCAGCAGTTGAAAGCAAAAAGATTGCTGAAAACCTGAAACCCAACGATTGAAAGCAAAAACTATTTTCCAGTGGTTCAGAGCAAAAAGTTTTTCAAAATTTTAAACCCAGCGGTTAAAGACAAGAGTTGATGACAAATCTTAAAGCCAACGGTTGAAAGCAAAAAACTGTATTTTCTCAGCGGTTGAACCAATAAAAAGTTTACAAAAGTTGAAAAAAATGTTGACGAAAATATTACAACTTTAGCGGTTGAGCAAATTTTAAATTTGTGTAAAAAGGTTAATTTCTTGTTCTAGACTGCGAAGAGTCTAGGCTAGATCTCAACCGCTCCTTCAATCGCTCACGTGAGTTTTTTTCTCTATAGTATATCATTCGTTTTTTTTTCAATATTCGGATTTTTTTGTTTCACGGGCAACGCCGGGAACTTCAGCTAGTTCAAGGATAAAACTTTGCAAAAATGCATCTAAAAATATGAAACCTTTTACTTCGTATGCAAAATTATTGCAAATAATCACTTAGAAAATTATTCATTTATGAAAAGTACGCGTTAAATTTTCGTCTAAAATGCAGAATAACTTACATTGCATTCTGAACGGATACCCCCCGCTCCCCGAAAAGCAAGCGTTTGTCATGAGTATGTTTTAAAGCAGATTTGGAAACGGAGCATGCCAATAGCCAGGGGTGTAGATTTTCTTGAAAAATTAAATTTTTTTTCCTTCAGAAGTCTGTTAATAGTATGTTTGCACGGAGAAAAAATATATGATCCGGGGAAAAATTTTTTTTAGAGGAAATAAATAAATTTTTGGTAAAAAGTATCAAAAAGGAAAAAAACTTTTTTAACGGTCCACCCCTTGCGCCTGGATGATTCTTAAAGTTTTACACTCCTATAAAAGCATGCATAAAAAGAAGCAATTTTTAACATAATTTGGATATAGGGAACATTAGGGGTGTTCATTTTTAGGGTCACTTTTGGTACAAAGATGCAAGGTCAACAGAAAGTTGCAAAATTTTGCAAGATTTTCAAAAATAATTTTTAAAAAATTCTTAAAATTTTTTTTCAGGGTGCGCCAATTGATCAAAATTTCACCTTTTTTTGTTTGTTTTTTCACAAAAATTGTAATATGCCCATCCCTAATTTGGTTTTCAACATGCATATCAGTTATTATGGAGATAAACATGTCTAGAATACACACACAAAAAATTAAAACCCTATCTTGACTGGAAAGGTGTGCGCTAAATGGTTTCTTGAACTACTCAAAAACAAAAAACAAATAAATCAATCAATCAATATTTTTCAACATTTTTGGCGCAAGTACT